AATATTTTGATTCTCATTTTCTTGCATTCAGTCATGCTAAATAAATCCAACATTATCATCTCTCTGTGTGTGTGTGTGTGTGTGTGTGTGTGTGTGTGTGTGTGTGTACCCAGTCTGGATGAAACTTCCTCAGCTATGTGAGGATCCAGGGGTCCCCAGTGGGCAAGGCAAGGTGAACAGAGGCTCTTATAAAATGCTGTCCTAGCCAGACTTGATTCATGCTCTAAGTAGTAGGAGTTACATAAGCAGAGTGTCCATAACATATATTCACTGAGTACATAATCCATCTGTAACCTCTCCTTAGTTCGAAGGGGAAAGTAAGACCCCCAATATGTGAGAGAATATGACTATATTATAAAATGTACTGAGCCTTATAAGGAGCCAGATCAATAGATAAAAATCAATAGTACTTCCCTAATAAAATAATAGGCTGAGATAAGCATTTCATCTGGATTTAGAGACTCTGCATTTGCCAGGAATATTACTCCCGTATTTGAAAATACCTTTTTCAATTGCAAGTGATTGAACTCCAATTCAAACCGTCTGGACCAACTATTCAACATTATTCATAAACTATTGAATAATTGTTATTGAACTAATGACTCAATGATGTTTTGAAGGTATATGTTTCGGTGAAACAAAATAAGAGGTATGAATATGGGAGGTTATTATTTGCAGACGATATTGTATACCTAGAAAAACTTACAAACTACTAAGAGTAATTAGTAGTATGGCTAGATCAAGATAAGTGTGCAAAAAGCTATACTTTAATTTCCACTTCGAAATAGAAATGAAAATATACTCTGTTCACAATAGTTTCCAAAGTAATAAAATGCCTAGGAATAACTTTTAATAAGAAAAAATAAAAGACATACAAAGAAAAATGCAAATTTTCATTGGTAGACTTAGAACAAGATCTGAATAAGTAAAGAGAAGTACTATATTCTGAATAGGAAAAGCATAGCAAAAAGATGTCTCTCATTCTATTTATTGGGTCAACCAACCTTCTGGGACTACTACCCCACCCGTTTACACCCACCTTGCAGCTCTCAATAAATGTGGAACAGCCATTCCCCTATGAGCCGGCACTGTGATTACAGGTTTCCGTAACAAAACAAAAGCATTTTTGGCCCACTTCTTAGCACAAGGCACACCCACCCCCCTCATCCCTGTGCTAGTGATTATCGAACTATCAGCCCGTTTATCCAGCCGGTACACTAGCTGTGCGATTAACAGCCAATATTACAGCAGGTCATGTATTAATACATCTAATCGGAGGACCAATCTCAGCGCTAAGAAGCATCAACACCATCACGGCTTTCATTACATTCGTTGTTCTCTCCCTACTCACCATCCTCGAATTTGCTGCTGCTATAATTCCAGCCTATGTATTTACCCTCTTAGTAAGCCTATATCTGCATGACAACACATAATGACACACCAGACCCACGCGTACCACATAGTAAACCCCAGTCCTTGACCCCTTACAGGAGCCCTTTCAACCCTCCTCATAACGTCGGGCCTAATCATGGGATTCCACTTAACTCAATAATTCTACTAATATTAGGCCTACTAACCAACACTCTAACAATATATCAGTGATGACGAGATGTTATTCGAGAAAGCACCTTCCAAGGCCATCACACACCAATCGTCCAAAAGGGACTTTGATACGGAATAATCTTATTTATCGTCTCAGAAGTCCTCTTTTTTACCGGCTTCTTTTGAGCCTTCTATCACTCAAGCCTCACCCCTACCCCTAAATTAGGGAAGGAGCCTTCTATCACTCAAGCCTCGCCCCTACCCCTAAATTAGGCGGGTGCTGGGCGCCAACAGGCATTCGCCCTCCAAACCCCCTAGAGCTGCCGCTTCTCAACACTTCTGTGCTATTAGCCTCTGGGTGTCTATCACCTGGGCCCACCACAGCCTTATGGAAGGAAATCGCAAGCACATACTCCAAGCCCTCTTTATTACAATTGCCCTGGGCGTATATTTTACACTCCTACAAGCCTTGGGGTATTGTGAAGCTCCATTTACAATCTCAGATGGAGTATATGGATCAACTTTCTTCATGGCCACAGGGTTCCACGGACTGCACATAATCATTGGGTCCACCTTCCTTATTGTTTGTTTCCTGCACCAATTAAAATTTCACTTCGCATCCAACCACCACTTCGGCTTTGAAGCCTCTGCTTGATACTGACATTCTGTAGATGTTTTATGACTCTTCCTTTTCGTATCTATCCATTGATGAGGCGCATAATTCTTTTAGTATGAATTGGTGCAACTGACCTGTAATCAGTTAGTTTCGGTACACCCCGAAAAAGAATAATAAACTTAATACTGACCCTATTAACACATACTGCACTGGCCTCATTGCTTGTACTCATCGCCTTCTGACTCCCCCAGCTAAACATGTACGCAGAGAAAACAAGCCCTTATGAATGCGGATTTGACCTTATAGGATCCGCCCGCCTGCCTTTTTCCATAAAATTTTTCCTAGTAGCAATCACATTCCTCCTTTTCCACCTAGAAATTGCCCTCCTACTGCCCCTCCTCTGAGCAACTCAAACAAGTAATCTAAAAACAATACTCACCATGGTTTTACTTTTAATCTCATTATTGGCAATTAGTCTGGCCTACAGTGAGCTCAAAAAGGACTGGAGTGGACTGAACTAAACTGTATTTAGTTTAAAACAAAACAAATTATTTTGACTCATTAGATTATGACTAAACTCATAATTACCAAGTGTCTTTAGTGTGTATAAATATTATTATAGCTTTCACTATATCCCTTATAGGATTACTAATATATCTATCCCACCTAGTATCCTCACTACTATGTCTAGAAGGCATAATATTATCCCTATTCATCCTGGCGACCCTAACAAAACTTCACCTCAGCCAGCATAATACCCATCATCCTGCTGGTGTTCGCAGCCTGCGAAGCAGCACGCAGATTAGCCTGATTAGTAATAGTATCAAATACCTATGGAACCGATTACGTAGGAAACCTTAACCTCCTCCAATGCTAAAATTTATTATCCCCACAATTATACTAATACCCCTAATTTGACTATCAAAAAGCAACACAATCTGAATTAACTCCACAACCCATAGTCTGCTAATTAGTCTCACAAGCTTACTTCTCCTTAATCAATTCAATGACAATAGCCTTAATTTCTCATTAATATTCTTTTCGGACTCCCTATCCGCACCATCACTGATCCTAACAATGTGGCTCCTTTCCCTTATACTAATAGCTAGTCAATCTCACCTTTCTCAAATGAGTAAAAATATTTTACATCATATTAACAGAACCCTAATGGTTTATTTTTATATTTTGGACTAGATAAAACAATTTTCAATTTTGTGAAGGAGAATAAATTATAAGAATCACTAAGAAAACTTGGAAAAAAAAGAATAATGAGTATGGGGCATGCCCTACCAGATATTAAAACTTACTACAAAGCTACTATAATCAAAATATGGTTCTGGCACATGAATAGATAAATAAATCAGTGGAGAAAGACTGGAAGTACAAAAGCAGATGCAAATAAATATGGGAATTTAAAATATGATAATGATGCATTTCAATTCAATGAATGAAGGAGGACTTTTTATTAAATGGTGTTGGGATACTGGACTACCCATTTAGGAAAAATAATGAAGTTAGATCCTTATACCATGCAAAGTTCTTATTGTAAGAAATAAAACTATTAACATTGGTGGAATTAAAACATTAAGACATAATACAGAAAAAAATGCTTATATATGTCAGACTTGGAAAGATCTAAACAAGCTGAAATCCAGAAACCATTAAAGGAAAAGTCAACCAGTTTGACTACCCAAAAATGAAAGTCCCGTATGAGGAAAGATGAAAGACAGCCAAGGAAAAAAATATTTGCAGCACATATAAAAAACTAAGTATTAATATTCCTAATACTCAAGAGACACAATAATTAGCTATAAAAAGAAAGTTCTATAAAAATGATTAGAGAATGTGAATACATAACTCACAAAAGAGGAAATACAAATGGCCAGTATATCTAAGAAAATAGGAAACAAAAATTGATGCAGCTATGTAGAATTATTTTGCTAAAAATTTTAAACTTTGACAACTTCTGGAGGTGGAGGGGGTATAGAAAAACAGAGCTCTTGTATACTTTTGACCAAAGTGTCAGGTTGTTCAATATTTTGAAAGCAATTTGTTGAATTCATTAAAATATAGTATGTACATGCTATTTGACCCAGCAACACTACTCCTAAGGACTCTAGCTTACAGAGATAAGAGCACAGAAACACAGAAATATATAAAGGTAAAGAAATTAAGAATGTTGATACAATCTTGCTTATAAAAGAAAAAATGGGAAAAGCTATCAATATCCATCAATATTGGTTAGTTGAATAAAGTATGGTACATCCAAAGTAAAGAATTTTATGCAACCATTAAAAAGAGCGACAGATTTGTATGTACTGACTGTAGATGTCCACAATTTATTGGCAAGTGAAAAAAAGCAAGGTAAAGAACAATATATCCAGTCTGATACTAGATTGTATTTTAATAAGTGGGTGTGAGAATTTACATTAGATGTATGCACTTATATTAAATAATATTAAATAATTTCAGAAAAATTGGAAAAGATACATACAAAATGGCTAAAAGCATTTTCCTATAGCGGGTGGCATTGGATTAACAAAAGGGAAGTTTCATTTCTTACTGTATTTTTCAGTATTTTTCCTAAAACAAGATTTAAAAATGCAGCCTGGAAATTATATACAATTACATCAATTGTATACACATACATATCAAAGAAGACTGCTTTGTAAAATTTGATGATGCACAATTAAATGAACTGGCACAAAACAGTTTGTTCAACGGAGAGAAATTACAAATGCAAAGGATATAAATGACAAATCACAGTTTAGTAAGGAAACGTTTTTTTTTTAATGTCCAAAGCCTGATTAATTCTTAATATGCTAAAGGAGAAGTAACTTACCTTTGACAACGGCTTTCCCTCAGCGCAATTGATTCCACCGATGAAGACCATGTTGGGCATCACAGGTTTGGGATAGTTCAAAACAAAGTCACGTCGTAACAACCAAATTGATATTTGGCTGAAGAGATCAGATGCTGTGACAGTTGTCTGGAGAATCTCAGAGGCAATTTCTAAAACATTTTTGAAAAAATAGTGGCAAAATAAACGTTCCTCCAAGTGCCGGATATGATTCCACAGTCTCTGTCCGAAAGTCATGACGTCAGAGAACCCTGAGAAATCTCTAGGAACGTAAGAAAGAGCGATGGGACACTGAGTGCTTTCTTCAAGATAATGGCAAAAGACTCCCCTGGCGAAGACCACAGATGGGAGTGAAAGATATTTGGCTACAATTAAGCCACACATATCAAAAGGATCTAGAAACACTGCATCAAAAGAACTCTCTTTTAAGTATTTTACTAATTTTGTGTCCTCAAACAAACTCTTACAATGTGAAAAAAGGTAGTCAAAAGCTTTGTTGGACGGATTCATCAACATATGAAGTAAACTTCGTGGCTGAGTTTTCCAGTGAAAATCGGAGAACTTCTGGAACTCACTATTCAAATTCTCCAGAGTGTAAGACGTGGAATAAGTCTTTACCGTAAGATTGAATGAACTTGCCAGGTACCAATTCACCTCTGGTATGACTAAGACCACCTCATGCCCTTTGTGGGCAAGTTTCTCCACGACCGGACGCATGGTAAACCAGTGGCTCCCATCCATGGGTACTACCAGCAGCTTGCCTGCCTCAGCAAAGCCAGGGGTCAGCAGCAGACACGTGCACAGAGGAAGGAAGCCGGTTAAAATCGCAGGAGCCATCTGTTAACTGCAGCCCAGAGCAATCCAGCTGTCTGGATTCTAAGCTCGTGTAACAGGAGCAGCATAAGTACAGGCACAAAACCTGCCTCAGGAGAGGGCGTGTATTTAGACATTCATAAAAAAAAAAAAATTATACTCATTGCCAACGAATTACTCATAAGGATGATAATGAATGAGAAGCATTTGCTGAAACAGGTAGTAGTATGTTTTCCAGATGAGATAGCTTTTGATCTTTACCATGAGCAGAGACATTGCACTGCAATGCCCTTTTAGAAACAGAATTATTAAGCAATGCTCTTGGAACCTAAGGACTCAGAATGATAAAAAAAAAGAGGGTAAGTTTCAATAAAGCTGGTATTTTTGAAATTTGTCCCAAAGGAAAATTTGGATTTTATCTTCCGAGTACCAAAGACTCTTTGCCCAGAAAGTGACTGGCATCCCGGATTCCAAGGAAAGATTTGAAGCACCTTGCCACTGACCTCCTCACTGGCAGTGAACTTGAGGTCGACAAGAGGACAAGAGTCTCTGCAATGCTTGATGTTACTGCTTGTCTTATTCCATTTCCAAACCCTCTGAGGCTTCCGAAATGTTGAGATAAGATTGACAACCCCACCTCCCATTCTAGGGACTGATGGAATGTGTTTGTCATCTATTTTAAATTGCTTTCTTTAGATATGTCACATAATAGGGTTACCCGCCCAATGTTTGCGGAAAGCACTCTGCTGGGACTGCTTTCTCTTTTCTCTGGGCTTCCACAGTCCTCTGTTTAGACGTCTGCTGTGGGATTGCCCCAATAGGCCTGGTACCCTCCTTCAGGAATCTCTGTATCTGTCTCACACTCTATCAAGATCTGTATCATCTGTATCAGATGGCTCCGTCCAGGACACCCAAACTATAACTGGTGACACTTGCTTAGTCACCATTTACCTTGGTGACTGGAAAAGTTTCAGATAAATGTCTGAAAAATAAAAATGGTGCTGAGTGGTCTACCTGCAGGTAGGCTTATTTTAGAATAGATATCAATGAAATAGAAAATAGACAAACAATAGAGATAATCAATGAACCCAAAAGCTCGTTCTTTGAAAAACTGAATTAACTTGATAAAGCTCTAGCCAAACTGATCAGAAAAAAAAGAAAAAGAGAGAGAGAGAGAGAGAGAGAGAAGAAATGACCAATATCAGCAATGAGAGAAGTGGCATCACTACAGGTTCTATAGATATTAAAAGAATAAGAGAATATCATGAACAAGTTTATGCCAATATATTCTACAACTTAGATGAATTGGACAAATTTCTTAAAAGATGCAAACTACTAGAGTTTAATCAAGAATAAATAAATAAGCTGAATAGAAATAACCTATGTATTTAAAATTAAATCTGCAATGCAAACTTTCCCACAAATAAAACCTCAAACCCAGGTAACTTCACTGATAAATGTACCAAACATTGGAAAAAGAAGTACTACCAATTATCATTCCAGAAAATATTCTGGAATATAGATACAATATACTCCAGTAGAAGCATAGGGAATTTCCTAATTCACTCTATGAGACTGTTACCGAGTCCAGGCTCACTCTGCTCGTCACACGACAGGCCAGTAAATAGGGAGACAAGGTGTTCAGGCAAGGAATAGCGACTTTATTCAGAAAGCCAGCAGACCAAGAAGATGACAGACTAGCGTCTCCCCAAAAAATCTTATCGGGGTCTCGATACTAGTTTCTTTTACAGAACAGAGAGGGGGAAGAGTTGAGGAAGTAAAGTAAGAAGGCCATTAATTTCACAAAATATCTCCTGGCTTGGCCAGCATGGGGGAGGGGATGTGTCAATTTCTTCTTTGCTGCAGCCATTCACAGGTGGGCAGGGTCAGATTGTCTCCCAGAGAGCTGAACAAAGGTCCTTTAGTTTAACATTCAGGCAGAGGGGTAGGGTTCCCTGAGGCAGGCCATTGTGTATGATTATAATAATAAAAGTAAATGAAAAGCAAAGGTTAAAGTAGCAAAGGTTAAAGTGAAAGAAACAGATCCAACATGGAGTCGGATTTTGCTCTTCCGTGTTACAAGACCATAGAATTGGTCTATGAGACCAGCATTGCCACATAACAAAACTAAATAAGGAGTTTGGAGCAGAGAAAAGTTTATTGCAAGACCATGACGGAGATGAGGTGGTTCATGCCCTGAAAAGACTCAAGCTCCCCGAACGGTTTTGGCAAAGCATTTTTAAAGGGGAGGTGAGGCGGGGCTGTCAGAGGGTACTGTCAGCTTGTGCACAATTCTGTGATGGGCTGATGGTGAGGCAGCAGGTCGGTGTCACAGGGGTTAAGATTATCTGTCCTTAGGCTCCAGGAGGCCTGGGGGTCTGGGCTCATGGTCAGCAAGTAGTTTTTCCATTTGGTGGGGGGTTTTCACATCTGCAAAACAGCGCAGGAAATTTGCATCAAATACTATTATCTACCCTGGCTTGTTTGTTTGTTCTGGCTCATGAAATTCTTTTGTTTGTCATGGAAATGTAAGAGTGGAATATTAATACGTTTCAGTTGAGTTCTGTAATGTCAGGAGTTTTTCAAAAAAATTAGAAGATGGACTGGAGCTTTTTCTTTGTGAATAGAAACTGAAAAAAAAATTACTATTCTGTAGGTACTTCAGAGAGGAGCTAAAGCAGAGGATATGGGGGAAGGCATGTTCTGGGAAGGCCCCATAGGGCCCTGCTCGGTTACACCATAGACCAATACCCCTCAAGAACACAGATGCAAAAATTCTAAACAAATATTTAACAAACCAAATTCAATAATATAAACATATATATGTACCATGTAATACATAAAAATATAATACGTCATAACCAAGTGAGATTTATTCCAGGAGTGCAAGGCTGTTTTAACATTAGAAAATCAATCAAGGTAATTCACCATATAAATAAACTAAAAAAGTAAAACCATGTAATTATTTCAAAAGGCACTTTGTTTGATAAAATCCAATATCCATTTCTGATAAAAATTCTCAGCAAACTAGGAAAAGAAGGGAAGTTTCTCAACCTAATAAAGAGCATGGATCAATATGAGAAACCCACAGTTGGGGCTTCCCTGGTGAGAGAAGTTCGCACCCCGCAACGAAGAGTAGCCCCCGCTCACCGCAACTAGCAAAAGCCCGCGTGCAGCAACCAAGACCCAATGCAGCCAAAAATAAATTAATTAATTAATTAATTTTAAAAAAATAGTGTTTGGACCATGGTGGAATTTCTAGACTAATCACCAAAGCCTCTTTGGTAGAGAAATGCGAGCTCAGGGTGTGCCTCAGATGGATCTGGTAGTGACATGCGTGATGGGATGGAGAAAGCGGCAGTCCACCTAAAATGTTGTAATTCTAACGTGGGTGAGACTTAATGAGGGTCTGACAGGCAGAGAGGGAGCCATGGAAAGCAGAGAGGGAGCCATGGAAACAGAAGCAGCATTGTCCAGGTGATACTTTGAGTTACAAATGATTGGATTCACAGAGAAAAGATGAAGTTTCAAAGACAGCTCCGAGACTTTGATGCTGCATGAGAGGAAGGATGATGGTGTTAACAGACCTTTCATTCATTTAACACATATTTATTAAGATCCTGTAATGAGCCAGGCACTGTTGAGATGGTCGGGATACAGCTGGGTACAAGGGTGAGCCTGCGTCCTCAGAAGCTAACCTTCCAGTGCTAATTCTTGGCCAGGGAATGGAACTTTGAGGAATATCCACTGTTAGGAAGAGGGGAATGAAGCACAGCGGGCGAAGAAGAAGCAGTCAAAAGGCAGAAAGAGAAGCAAAAGGATAGAGTGCCTTGGCGCCAGGGACAAGAATCATGAAGAGGAGGCTGCCAAGGGGGCAAGGTGGCCGACGGAAGACTGATAAGAACTGAGAAGATGAGATTCCCGCTGTGGTTTCCTGGTCTAGACCTTCAACCTTCCAGCTGGTCCCCTGCCTCCAGTTCTTTCCCTACCGACACTTCCTGAACATTTGCAGCCACAGGAATGTCGCTATGTTCCAAATACAAATCCCTTAGGCTGGCATTCACTTTGACTCCTGCCTTGTGGCTTCGTCTATCACTATTGCTGGTCTCAATCTCTCAAATCTTTAGCTGAAGTCAAAATGATTATCCTCCCGTCGCCCTCATTCGACAGGAGAGACGGCCAGAAGAGCCTATATAGGCTATTGAAAGAGTCCACCAAAGGTGCTCAAGAGGGCAAGAGAGGAGATTTTCAAGTATTTTTGGCGTACTCCTGTGTATGAGAGTTGGCGCAGACAAAGTAAACACCGAGAATGTTATAAAGGATCATAGTTACTTGGAACATTTTTCACTGGAGATACACCTGTAAAATGTCTCTGTAAGTGCACGGCACTCTTGAAGCCCTACACAAATGTTTCCAAGGTTTAAGTAACTTGGCATTAGCCGGGCCAAATGACAAGCGATCTTTGTACTCTCTACTGCAACTAACATGAGTTGCGAACAATAATAAAAATAAACTTTAAGGGCTTCCCTGGTGGCGCACTGGTTGAGAATACGGGACACGGGTTCGAGCCCTGGTCTGGGAGGATCCCACATGCCGCGGAGCGACTGGGCCCGTGAGCCACAATTACTGAGCCTGCGCGTCTGGAGCCTGTGCTCCGCAACGAGAGAGACCGTAATAGTGAGAGGCCCGCGCATCGCGATGAAGAGTGGCCCCCGCTTGCCACAACTAGAGAAGGCCCTCGCACAGAAACGGAGACCCAACACAGCCATAAATAAATAAATAAATCAAAACTGTCAACAAGTAAAAATAAATAAACACAATAAAGAAAATAAACTTTAAAAAGTGAACGAATGAGTGGTCGGCTCACCGAGCGGACTCGCGAACCCGCCAGCAGACAAGGAAGCGAGCACTGTCCACCCAACACGACTCCCGCATTCTCAGGCCAAAAGAACTACATTGCCCATAAGGCCCCGCGCCGCGGGCCGGCGCTACCCCGCCGGGCATCCTGGGAGACGTAGTCCGTGCGTTCCATAAATCGCTCACGCGGGGTGCCGTGGGAGAGCTGCTGACGTCAACATGGCCGTCCGCGGTAGCGGCGCGGTCTTTCGCTTCGAGTTTTGGCCGGGGCGGGGGTCGGGGCTTTAGGCAGTAAGTGGGGCCTGCGGCCGGGGATCTCGGGAGGGATGAGGGGATCGAGGCGAGAGGCTGCCCGGGCCGGCCCCGGGATGCGGCGTCCTCCTGGTGTGGGGCTGCGGTCCCCCGCCTCGGGGACCTCTGCCTCCTCGCGCCCCTGGGCTCGGTGGCTTGGAGGGCTTGAGGGCCTAGTCTGAACGTGGAGCGGAGGAGACCGGAATCTAGACCACTCGAGGCCACACTTTCAAGTTCCATTTTTTGTGCTTTTCTTCTGAGGAACGGGTTGAAAAAGCAAATAATTGCATTTCAGCGTTTCCTATCCCTTAGGAACTGTGCTAGGCGCTTGGCCTTTCTCGTCTCCAGGTGACCCTCCTCCACACTCGATGTGAGACCTTGAGCGGATTCTTTAGACCCCAGGAGCTAATGTTGGGATCACCGGCTGGATACATGTTGTAAAGCCCTCGAGGCTCCATTATTTAAATGGCAGGGGTTTTTTTCCCAGTGAATCTCCACCCGGCTGTCCGGCTTCGGGGCCATGTACTAAACTACTATAAAGATTAATTGGTTCCATTTAACTTATTTAAGTGTCATAATCTGGTGCAAGGAGTTTGAGAAGCAGAGATTTTAGGAAGTGATTCATGGTCCCTAGGCCATTGTCAACGCTCAGAATCTAGCTTTGGCTCTACCACCTCAGCAGATTAGGTGTATTGATGGGTTTTCTTTCTTTTTTCACTAGTGATATCAATATGCCTTTTTAAAAACAGCTGTCATTTATTGTGGGCTAAACCCTGTACCCTAAATGCCTTTCTTTCATTATGTTATTTGATTGTTTAAATGACCCTGCGTGACAGTTGGTATCGCATTTTACTTATAAGAACGTGGGTTAAGTAACCTGCCCACGGTCGCACAGGTAGTGTGGAGCAGGGATGAAAAAATTCAGGTCTTGCTGCCTCCAAAGCCCGAACTACTGTCTGTACTTTCTAAAGAGTGACTTAAAATGGAGACTCCCAAGTATAAAAGGGAGATGTGGGGAAGTTTTGTTTTAAAAATAAAAACGTTTATATAACATGTTATATTTTTTTAAGGGTAGTATTTAGTTTCACAATGTTTGGGGACCTGTTTGAAGAGGATTATTCCAGTGTGTCAAATGATCATTATGGAAAAGGGAAGAAATTAAAGACCAAAGCTTTGGAGCCACCTGCGCCTAGAGAATTCACCAATTTAAGTGGAATCAGAAATCAGGGTGGAACCTGTTACCTCAATTCCCTTCTTCAGACTCTTCATTTCACACCTGAATTCAGAGGTATGCTGTGTTACATGCATTTGGCTGGTAATATGGATCCTTGTATCCACCTGTAATTAATTATGCAGAATCACAAGTGTGTTCGACAGTGTGTGTTAATTGTTGCTAATGAGGGACATAAATTGGTAATTCCGCAGAGGAATGTGAAGCTTAAATTATGAATATTTTCTGTGTGATCACAGTGATGTTCAGTAACAAGATAAAAAAATAAGGCAATGTATTTCTTTTCTAATTCCTATCATTTAAAGAACAACATAGACAATTTTGTCATGAGTGCCAGCCTTCATTATTGTACACCATTTGTATTTTTGAATTTCTCAAAGTAATAAACACTTAAACCAGAGTTACTCAGTACAGTTATATGCTTCCTTTTGGAGTGGGGAGGGGTTGTCACATTATTCATACAGTCCACAATCGTTTATCTGAAGTTCTGAAATCTGGAAAACTGACAGCCTGACCTAATAATCTGAATTTGTTTGGCCTGAGAGCCTGACCTGCTGTGAGACTGTTTATAGTCTTAATTATCTCACTTGGGTGAGCAGTCATACATTTGTCACAGGAATATTAAGTCCTTGATTAATAAATACTGTTTGTCCCAGACTCTGCTGGGGATGAAATGTTAACATATTGGACCCTTTCTTCGTATTACCTTTCTAAAATCTGGAAATTCTGAATTCCAGAGATCCAGGGTGTTAGATAAGGGACTGTGTATAAGGAACAGAAACCCACTCAAAGTAGCTCAATTAAAAGGGAGGTTTACTGTAAGAATATAGGGGAATCTCCTAGAAACCACCTACAGGAAGCCACCCTGACCTCCTTGGACCCTTGATTTCTTGCCCCTATTTTTCTCTACATGTTTGTCCCATTCCTCCTCTGCAAACTAGCTTCCTCCACAAGGGTCTTAGTCTCTGTGTTCCCTTGATTTCAGTGTGAAGATTCCTCTGCCTTCACATGGCCCTGATTGGGGGCCCCCAGCTACGAAGCTCCATGACTGTAGCTCAGCTCCCCACTATGTCTCCATATTCTGAGGACAGACAAGCTGGCTCATCCTGTATCCAGTATCTCATCCCCCTTCCCACCACTACCAAATTTAGCAAAGTTTTGTGACATTTTCTGTTGCTTCTAAGCTTACAGAGACTTCCTGCCTCCAGAGATTTAGTGTATAGTTACCGTTATCCCCTTCTCAGGGCCATTCTAATGGGTCGAAGTGCATGTGGATTTGAGTGTTGCCTCTTGTCTGTGACTCCATCCACTCCATAAAAATATCCCCCCAATGCCTTCAGTAGTTCCACCGTTAGAAATTTGGAGTATGAATAAGCGGGTTCCTAGGGAGGTTAAGTTTTTCCCAAGTTTTAGTATAATTGAAGTTCAAGGGCAACTTAAAGTAGAAAAGTAGCCTTAAGAAGAGGGTGAGGAAGGCGACTGTTGGGGACGGCAGGCAGGTCATGGAGAGGGCCGCTAAGAAGAAAGGGCTCAGAGCCCCGGGCCCCCTTCTCTCTAGCAAAGTGGGTGGCCGGCCAAGCACATGGGCTGACTCACACACTCCTAGTAAGGCGTAGCGCAGATCCTGAAGCTTATTGGAGAAGGCGTACACTTTGGAAAGGGTAAGGACTGGCGGAGAACTGAGGGGATATTTTGGGAACTTTTTGGAATCATATTTTAAGGAATAGGACTAGATTCGGTTCCACTGTACTCCGAGATCAGTGTAGCTGGGAGGAGTGGGAGACGATTGTGGAAGTCTTTGTATGGTTTTTATGCTTTAACCTTTATGTTTGTAACCTTCATGTAGTGTTTTTCCCAGTTCCTGCCGGGAGCTCAGGAGGAATATTACATAACAGTAATCACTAAGGCAGCAGTGGTTTTCAGTGCAAGACAACACCCGTCCCATCCCTCCTCTCCCTGGAGTATATCAGAGTCTCCCAGTAGGTGTTCCTATCTGTTTGAATACAGACTTCCCAAAAGATTCAGATACGCCCCACTGGGTGGCGTACCCAGACATTGAATTATAAACAAATTCTGGAGACTGGCACTGGGTTGCCAGCGTCTTTTTCCAGGTAAGGTCACCACCATCTGTTATTACCCTCAATGCAGAAAAGATATTTTCATACCAAAATGGGAAGGGCGTTATCTCAGAGTTAAAGGTGCTCCTTCTTATGAAAGAATGGTTGGAAGTCTCACGTGTGGCTTGTAAACAAACACATGTGACACTATTATATATTGTGTATTTCCTAGTAGTCCTCATGTGGCTTTTGGGACCCACTGCCATAGGCAATAGGAAGCCACCAAAGATTTCTGATGTTATGGTTTTTATATGTATAATTTTCCTTTTACAGCTTTCCCTTATTGAAACCTTAGCTTCCCTCTTTCTAATAGGGTCAGTGGTTAAAAATAACATTACCAGAAAGCAAGATGGGTAGGCTAAGGGTATAAATATTGTCAAGTCATATTTCTGAATCTTTAACTGATTTCTACTTACTGGTGGCCTTGGCTTTCTAAAACAATTTTCAAAAATGAGATAATGTCATTTACATCTGTGATTCTACTTTTTTGTTTAGAAGCTTTATTTTCTCTTGGCCCGGAAGAGCTTGGTTCGTTAGAGGATAAGGATAAACCTGACGCAAAGGTATTAAAATCTTTGATTCACAGGGGTTTTTTGGAGTACTGAGGAAATGTTTTAAGGAAAGAATTAAGTTGCTTATTGATAGGAATCAATAATTTTATTAATTACCAAATATGATCTTTATTTTCAGAAAGTGTCTTGGCCTATACCTTACTGTTAAGGGAACTGCCCTTCCAACAGAGAATTACTTATCATGCAGATGCAATGCTGCTGCTGCTTTTTAGGCATACCTCTCTCTGCATTAAGGAGATACTCACGAGTTGTCCGCACTAGCGCGCCAGAAAGTCCGCTTAATGCACTTACTTGTAGCAACAACAAAAAATAAGGGGCCAGTGTTCTTTCAGTTTGGTATTCTGGAAGTAAACTGAGTGAGGGATTGGTTTACTGTAAGTGCGTATCTAATCACGTTTCTCCCTTGCTTAAACATCATTCAGAACTTTATCACCCTCAGACTAAAATCTGTACATTTTTTTTTTGGCCATGCTGTGCGGCGTGCAGGATCTCAGTTCCTCGACTAGGGATCAAACTCACGCCCCACAGCAGTGGAAGCGCTGAGTCTTAACCACAGGACCTCCAGGAAAGTCCCCTAAAATCTGTACTACTTTTTTTTTTATATAAATTTTTTAATACATTTATTTATTTACTTTTGGCTGCATTGGGTCTTTGTTGCTGCACGCGGGCTTTCTCTAGTTGCGGCGAGCGGGGGCTACTCCTTGTTGCGGTGCGCAGGCTTCTCATTGTGGTCGCTTCTCTTGTTGCAGAGCACAGGCTCTAGGTGTGTGGGCTTCAGTAGTTGTGGCTCGTGGGCTCAGTAGTTGTGGCTCGCAGGCTCTAGAGCACAGGCTCAGTAGTTGTGGCGCACGGGCTTAGCTGCTCCACAGCATGTGGGATCTTCCCGGACCAGGGATCGAACCCGTGTCCCCTGCACTGGCAGGCAGACTCTCAACCACTGTGCCACCAGGGAAACCCTGTACTTTTTTTTTTTAAATAAATTTATTTATTCATTTATTTATTTTTGGCTGCCTTGGGTCTTTGTTGCTGAGCACAGGCTTCTCATTGCGGTGGCTTCTCTTGTTGCAGAGCACAGACTCTAGGCACGTGGGCTTCAGTAGTTGTGGCACACGGGCTCAGTAGTTGTGGCTCGTGGGCTCTAGGGCACTGGCTCAGCAGTTGTGGTGCATGGCTTAGTTGCTCTGCGGCATGAGAGATCCTCCCGGACCAGGGCTTGAACCCGTGTCCCCTGCATTGGCAGGCAGATTCTTTTTTTTTTTAAAATAAATTTATTTATTTATGTATGTCTGAGTTGGGTCTTTGTTGCTGCGTGCAGGGTTTGTCTCTAGTTGCTGCGAGTGGGGGCTACTCTTTGTTGCAGTGCGAAGGCTTTTCATTGCGGTGGCTTCTCTTGTTGTGGAGCATGGGCTCTAGGGGTGTAGGTGTGCCAGCTTCAGTAGTTGCAGCACACAGGTTCAGTAGTTGTGGCTCATGGGCTCTAGAGTGCAGGCTCAGTCATTGTGGTGCACGGGCTTAGCTGCTATGCGGCATGTGGGATCTTCCCGGACCAGGGTTTGAACCCGTGTCCCCTGCATTGGCAGGCAGATTCTTAACCACTGCGCCACCAGGGAAGTCCAGCCCTGTTCTTCTTAATAGGAGTCTTTCATGATCCAGCCCAGCGCCTGTCAAACTCCCTGTGTGGCAAAGAGCCCGTTTTTTTTTGTTTTTTTATTCACAATCTGTTGAAGATCAGACTTTCATTGGATATAATAAAAATGCTGTGGCAATGCAAAATTGCCATAAAGTTTTCTAAAGGCTTATTCTTACTTTAGATATTTAAGTCCAGTCTTCAGATCAGGCGCCAGGCAGCCTTCTCAGGGCCCTGGCCCACAGCACACAGGCAGGAACAGGCGTGGCGCCAGCAGGAAGAAAGCAACGGAGGGTGCAGCCAGCCCTGTGAGATACTTGTGACTGGAAAATTCCTCATAGGGAGTATGTCTGTAACTGAGGTATTTTGGAGAAAGGATGAACTATTAGAGACTTGAATTACTGTCATTCTGTAATTAATTGGGTGGTTTATTAGGGCCTGTTTGGGTTTTAATACTGATCTGTTATGTCAATATAGCTAAGAATTGTACTGAATTAAAATTTTCAAAGAAAAATGAATCTTCATTCACCCTTTACAATATTTATAAATTTTCTCCTGAGTGAATTAAATGAACTAGGAGGTAGGAGAAAATTAGTATGCAGTTCTTTTAAAAAGGCCCAGCCAACATTTAAAAGATATTTAGAAATGCATTTTTTCTCATTCAGGTCCGAATCATACCTTTGCAGTTACAGCGGTTGTTTGCACAGCTTCTGCTCTTAGACCAGGAAGCTGCGTCCACCGCAGACCTCACTGACAGCTTTGGGTGGACCAGTGATGAGGTACGAAGGTCAGCTTCTCCAGGGAAAAGTTACCAGCAGTAAAGACTGAACACTGGCTTCATAATGTTATCTAACTTCTCCTTTAATTTTGTCTTATGGTCTCAAGATATTGTTTAAATATTTACTTCTAATATTAGATAATTACAAACCAGTAAAACATTTTTAGACACTTGGCTGTATCCAGGATTTTATGAATGAGTGTGATTTGGGGTTGGGGGAGAGGGTTGAAGATACAGGGAGAAGAAGTATAAAAGTTGGTTTTTATAATTTCTACCATTTGTATAGTCTAGTTGAGATATACCACCTGTTACATTAATGGAAATTGCCATTTTTATAGCAAACTGCTTATCAACTTAAAAAGCTGACCGGCAGTAATTCTGTCTGCCTTTATGGCACGCTTGTGTATTTGAATCTGGGTGTTCCAATTTGAACATTTGCTTCAAGCAAAACAGTGAAACCATTCTCGGCAGGTCTTTTCATTTTCGCTGTGCTGCCTTCCTACTGACTGTCTTCATTTTCTTCCTGTATCCTACTATGTGTGGACTTCTTGTTTTTTTGTTTGAGTTCCTAAAGGGTATTTCACTATATACAAACACTAAACATTTGTCAGCACTAAGATGTGTGTTGTCGATATTGATGAGCTGTTAGCTGTATAAAATCAAAACTAGGTCTGCGGTTTTTTATGGAATAGATGTATTCTTTTATGGAATAGATGCAGAGATGAAGGTATGGGAGACCATCACAGAATTTAAAGAGACAATGATCAGAATAGGGTATGTTGCCTTCAAAAATAAACTATAAACTCTTGTCTTTTAACCAGAAATACTCATTAACTAGATGATGCCATGTGGTTAGAGAGGTGGGGCTTGGGCTTGGCAGTACAATGGGGTGTAATACATTCCCTAAAGAGTGTGTGTTGAGTTTCTGGTGTAGGGCAGGTGCTTGGGACTAATTCCCTTTTTCTTTCCTTGTTTTAAAGAAAACCTGCTTTATTGAGATATAATTCTTATGCCCTAAGCTTCCCTCTTTAAAAGGGTACAATTCAGTGGGTTCTTTTAGTATATTCACAGAGTTGTACAAGCATCATCACTACAGTCAATTTTAGAACATTTTCACCACCCCAAAAAGAAGCCCCATACCCATTACCAGTCACCCACACCCTGCGTGCCCTTTCCCGAGTCCCTGGCCACCACTGATCTCTCTGTCTCTGTGGATTTGCCTATTCTGGACACTGCACAAAAATGGTATTGTATAATATGTGGACTTTTGTAACTAGCTTCTTTCACTTAAAGTAATATTTTCAAAATTCATTCGTGTCGTAGTATGTATCAGCACTTCATTCCTTTTTATTGCCAGATAATCTTCTGTTGGATGGGTATGCCACGGTGGTTTGTGGTTTTTTTAATCTAGTCATCAGTTGATGGATTTCCCTTTGTTTTTGATAATGAGCTTCCTCTCAATTGCTGGCTTCATACTTCTTAAAAAAACTGTGAAAACTTTATTTATTGATTGAGTGATTTCTAAATAAAATCATATAGTAAACCCTCTAGGACTGGACCTGCAGTGGTAGAGAGGGTCTCTGAGGCACCTTTGCTGAATTTAGGATTGTTCAGAAACAGATCTTGAAACTTCCACAAGTTTTCTGTCCCATCAGAACCAGTGATATTGGAGAAATTTATATCATTTAGTGTCTTGTGTTTTAAAAACTAAGAAAAAGATCCCAAGTCCCACATGTTACTCCAGCTTCCATCTACTTTATCAGCTTCTCTTCACAAGACACTTATCTTCAAAGTCATCGTCCCTCACTGCCTCTACCTCTGCACCTTCCATTTGCTCTCTGCCCGCTTCCTACCTGCTTGTCCAAGTCCCTCCTGGCACCCTCATGCCAGGTCCAGGAGACACTGCTCGTCTCTCCACAGCCCTCAGTAGTAGCGCCCACCACCCCTCCGCTGTTCCCATGACCTCGCTCTCCTGGTTCTCCCCTTCCTGGCTCTTCCTCGGGTTCCTGTGCTGGTTCTTTCTTGTTTTCTCCACTTCAAGTGTTGGTGTGCCCCTTGGCTTTGGGTTTATAAATGGTTCTTTGGGAGTAGTTCAGCCTATTCATATACAGTTGCATGATTCATAGATAGAAGCAGGTTCCATCAGAATTTTTCTCAGTAGCACTGTGTTAGTCTTCCTTTAGTTGGTCTATATATCAAAGCAGTAAATTCTAGTTCTTTTCAAATGCTGATAACTCAGAGTGTCTGTCAGTCCCTCTGAGCTGAGATTCCGCTGTGCACACACTGCCGGCTCTTAGAGGCTGCTCTGTGCCTGTGTGTTCCTTCTTCCCCTCTCCTCTCTGTGGCACGGCCATGCGTATGGTGCCCCACAAAATAAATGCACTTTCCTGTTTTCAAGTGAATTGAGTTATATGTACATACTGAACACCGTCTGTTTATATTTTCATTTTGTAGTAAAAGTAAAAATAGGTGGTGATCTCTTACCCTACTCTCAGCTTGTTTAGCATAGTCATCCTTAACTTTGATTGAGGCTTACCTTTGGATTTCTAGATAAGTCTTGTGTTTTTAGACTAATATCACTTTAAAAATCTGTTTTTAAAAATCTGAAGCACAAAATTACATTTAAAAGTTACCTGTTTTATAGGAAATGAGGCAACATGATGTACAGGAACTGAATCGAATTCTCTTTAGTGCTTTGGAAACTTCTTTAGTTGGGACCTCCGGCCATGACCTCATCAATCGTCTATATCACGGAACCATTGTTAACCAGATTGTTTGTAAAGAATGTAAGAATGTCAGTGAAAAGCAGGTGAATATGCAAGAGTATTTTAGTAATAAGTTAAATCATAAATTATAATTCGTGCAATTAAATCTGTGATCTATACCACATGAGGATTAATGTGTTTATTACTAGAAATAACTTTATCAGTTTTTTTCTTGTACTCTAGCTACACCCAGATTATAAGTTTATAATCCAGATTTTTCCATGTAAACTGAAAGAAGTAGATATCTTAAGATGTAGCTTTAATCTTTTATTTAGTACTCTAATATTTAGAAAGTAGATTTGGGGGGTGTTTACAAGTAGGGACCAGTGACCTTATGAGAAAAGCCAATATCATCATGGTTGGTGGTTGGAATATTATAAAGAAAGTTACTTAGAGAAGTAATAAAAATAGAGAATACTGAGGAATGTTTAAATTGACAATTAAATCTGTAATTAAATATTGGATTTAGTTTATAGATACTCCTCAGAAAGTTCATTTGTATGTGTGTGCTTAGGTTTAAATATTATTTATGTAAAGCTATCATAATCCTGTTTAAACTAGTGTAACCTTCCATTCTTTGTCATAACAGAGATTTTTGCCCATTTCATCTAATTGGAAATTTGCTCATATAAATACAATAATCACTACTTGCACTACAAATCTTATATAGCAAATGATTTCATCACTGAACAGTTGTCCTTTAATAAAAATATTATTTTATGGGAAGAGTTATAGAAAGTTTCTGCATTTGACTATACGAGTAAAATAATTAAATGCCATTTTCTAAATGTTGCATTAATTGCTTTTTTAGAATATATATGTATATATATACTTCTATTTTTTATGAAAGTGTTGGGCATAAAAAAGACTTTTTGGCCCTTATTGCCTGTGCTAATAGAAGGTTTGGCCAGCCTAGTTTGGAAATATTAAGATGTTGTATGTCTTTGGATTACTGTATGATTGACCAGTATAATGTAATAATTCACAAAGTCATTTCAAAACATAACATATATGAAGGCATGTTATAAACTACAGACATTAACTTTTCACATATTTATATTATAAATCATATATGAATGTTACTTTTATTGCTTTAGGTTTCCACCTTGAACTGATTAGTGCTATTATTTTATAATCCCCATAATCCCTTAAGGTAATGCTGTTGCTCAGACATGCACACAAAATTATAAATGTGCTTTATTGAAACTTGTCAAATTGTAACTGTTTATTACTAGAAATATAATTCAAGTGTACTTCTAGTAGAATTGGTAGACTCGCATTTTGCAAAATACACTCTTAATTTTCGTAAAAATACCTTTGTATCCTGGCTCAAAATAATTTTTTTCTTAAACCAGCCCTAGCAGAAGGGGAGGAAGAAGAGTTTACATTAGAGAGTCCAACCCTGGCCTTGCCATGCCAGCCTAGAGACTAAGACAGCACTAATAACCCTGCACATATACTCTTCTCAATTCGTGTTTTAAATGGTTTGTCTTATTTCCTGATAAAATAGGTTTCGTTGTATCTACAGTGAACTCGTAAACTGGTTCCTGATATATTTTAAGCTAAGTTATAGTTTGGTTTAGAAAGAATAATTTATTGTTATGAATTTCACAGTATCTAATCAGGAGATCTATACCTTCATATATAGAAAAAATATATGTGTTTTAGAAAAAAAAATATCTGACTCTTCCCAGTGTATGTATGAATTGGTGATGTGTTTGTGAGCCTCTGTGGAATTGTTTTTTCAATGTTATATTCATGTGTATTTCAGGAAGACTTCTTAGATCTCACAGTAGCGGTCAGAAATGTATCAGGTTTGGAAGATGCACTCTGGAACATGTATGTGGAAGAGGAAGTTTTTGACTACGACAACTTGTACCACTGTGGGACTTGTGACAGGCTGGTTAAAGCAGCAAAGGTAAAGATAGATCCCTGCCTTTTCTAAGGGTGCCTGCGCAGTGTTTGGTAGCAGGAGGGTCCGTCGAGGGAAGTCAACTTGTATGAAGTGTCTTGAAGATATACTTGAAGCTCTTAATTAGTACTAAGGATTGAAAAGACATTTATATTATATATGTGTGTGTGTGTATTTTAATTTTTTACAGTAAAGAATTTTTTTTAAGCTTTCAACCCAGTTCTCTCAGCTTCTTTTTCTCACAGGAAAAAATTATCTGTACCTCAGTGTTTCTTAAATAAACCTTTTTTTTTTTTCTTTTGCAAGTTAACATTATGAAGAAGGCAATATATTTTTATTTCTGCCAGCCAGGAAGCTTGTTGAGCTTTCCTTTTCTTGATCTACCACTGCACAAATGGCTTTATTTTCACATTTGCAGTTATTTTACAGGATTGATGTGTGTATATTTCTTCCCTGACTAGCAAATCCAATATGGCCTTTCCTCCTCCCCCAGTTGGAAGTACGTATCTTGCTAATTACAGGGCTTGACAGAGCGTGCCAGGGTTTCTCTTTGTACAACAGAGCAAAATACAGGCAAAAAGGAGGACAAAATTTAAGCAAGCGATTTCTTTTGCAACATGGCGTCGACTCAGCTGCTATTATTATCTGCAGTAGGAACTCTTTCCCTGCTGGCAGGTGATACGACAGGCTGTTCGTTAGCGCAATAACCTTGAACTCAATTGAACCAGTGGTTATTGAGCCCTGACTTAAAGAAATACCACTAAAGATGTATCTTTGCAGTTACTCTGTTAAGACAAAGTGTTAGCACTATTCCTAGAGCTGACAATATTGAATTTTCCAGCAAAGAAAATGAGGGTTGATTTAGATAGCACACAACATTGATTTGGATCCTGGAGATTATAGGTGAAAATGTAATTGAAAACAGTAAACCCCATGCCTGTAGCTTTCACAATAGGATTTGAAACCAGGGTGAATTTTATATTGTTTAATATTTATTTCCATCTAGCCTTTGCCCCTTTATGAAAACCAAAGAGAGGTTTATTTTTTGCTTATTTATTTTGTATTTCCTCTTTAGTGTTACAACTACAACCTAATAAAATAAATATAAAATTCAGAGGATGAAGCGTCTTGGAAAGACACTTAAACACATTCTTAGTTTTTCGTTGACCTTAATTTGCACATTAGTAAAATAAGAACCTTCTGTTAAACAAAAGCAGTTCTTGTATGCACCTTTTCTATCATTGGTTTAATTCTTTTTCAATGGAAATGTTTTGATCTTGATACTTTAAAAATTGCCTTCTAGTTGCGTTAGATTTATTGCATTCTAAGGTTAGGCTTGGTTGCATTACCTAAATTAGTGCAGATCATCTTGTTCTGAGCAGCCTTTCTTTCCTCAGCCACATTATAGTTGATTTACTCACTTTTTTTAGATGTTTTTTTTTTTTTTGGAGCTAGTTTGAAAATCTGCCATGTTGTTAGGTTGCTGTATTTTCATTTAACTTTCTTTTCACCCACTAGGTTTGTAGAATTGTTTAAAATATATTTTTAGGAATGTTAGATGTTTATGATTATGGATAATTTTAAATATGGGGAAGGATTCTTTTTGCCTCCTCACATGCCTTTAGTGCAAGGGGATTGGGAAAAGCTGGTACCTTTTAAATAAAAAGTAGCTCAGTTTAGTGTTTTGTTTTAAAGCAAGGCATTAAAACAAAAAATATCTTATTATCTGCTTTGAAGAACTGTAAAACCCCAGTCAATGGATCTCGACATTTGAAGAGCTACAGTCCTTTTGAAAGTCTAGTGAAAGCTGTGGCTCTTCTTCCCAGAAAAATACATAAACACATACAATTTTCATATAATTTCAAGGGTTCAGATCCATTGAAACACGTCCCCAGGTCACAGGTTAAGAGCTCCGGTTCTTCAGTAAATAAGAACTGTGTGTCTGCTAGGTAAAGTAGACACAGTGACCGAGGGGGAAAGTGAAAGGTGAAAGGCCAGGGCTCGGGCAGGAAAGAAGCACTATTAGAGGGGCTTCCCTGGTGGCGCAGTGGTTAAGAATCCACCTGACAATGCAGGGGACACGGGTTCGAGCCCTGGGCCGGGAAGATCCCACATGCCGTGGAACAGCTAAGCCCGTGCAGCACAACTACTGAGCCTGTGCTCTAGAGCCTGCGAGCCACAGCTACTGAGCCCATGTGCCACAACTACTGAAGCTGGTGCTCCTAGAGCCCGTGCTCCGCAACAAGAGAAGCCACTGCAATGAGAAGCCCGCGCACCGCAATGAAGAGTAGCCCCCACTCGCTGCAACTAGAGAAAGCCCACGTGCAGCACCGAAGACCCAACACAGCCAAAAGTAAATAAATGAATTAAATTAAAAAAAAAAAAGAAGCAGCACTGTTTGGACTTCCCTGGTGGCGCAGTGGTTGAGAATCCGCCTGCAAATGGCAGGGGACACGGGTTCAAGCCCTGGTCCAGGAAGATCCCACATGCCACGGAGCAACTAAGCCTGTGCGCCACAACTACTGAGCCTGCGCTCTAGAGCCCGCGTGCCACAACTACTGAAGTCCGTGTGCCTAGAGCCCAAGCTCTGCAACAAGAGGAGCCACCGCAATCATAAGCCCACACTCCACAACGAAGAGTAGCCCCCGCTCATCGCAACTAGAGAAAGCCCGTGTGCAGCAACGAAGACCCAGTGCAGCCAAAAATAAATAAACTAATTAATTAATTAATTAATTATTAATTTTTTAAAAAAAGCACTGTTAAAGGGGGAGCACCCTCATCAGATAGCTTTGTAAGGATAGTGACATTAAAACATACAAATGGGTTGTGAATATTTAGTTGTAAGTATAAGTGAGTGATGTCACCTTTAGCCCCATAAAAATAGATGAGTTTATATCAAGAGCTATATTGAGTCCATGGTGATTAGTTTATGTGACTTAAGGACATATATCTCTTAAAACTGTGTCATAGGTCACTTTTTTATATCTTAAGAAACATGTATTCTTCTATATGATTCAGCTTTTAAAAATTAAAAATTTTTTCTTTTGACAGTCGGCCAAATTGCGTAAGCTGCCTCCTTTTCTTACTTTTTCATTATTAAGATTTAATTTTGATTTTGTGAAGTGTGAACGATACAAGGAAACAAGCTGTTACACGTTCCCTCTCCGGATCAATCTCAAGCCATTTTGTGAACAGGTTTGAACTATTTTGTATTGAAATTCTTTCTTTTACCCTCTCAAGATTGAATCTTTTATTGACCTGATTTACAGTTGGCTTAGTGCAGAATCTCTCAGCCTTGGCACTGTTAACATTTAGAGTTGGATAATTCTCTGTTGTGGTGGGATGTGCCCTGTATTGTAGGATATTAAGCAGCATCCCTGGCCTCTCCCTGCTAGATGACAGTAGCACCTCCCGCTTCTGCCCCCAGTAGTGACAAAAATGTCTTCAGACTTTGCCAAATGTCCGTGTCTCCAGCGGGGAGGGAAGGTGGGTAAAATTGCTCCCGGCTGAGAACCACTAGTCTATTACAGTTCTTTTGAATTTCCAAAGTATGGATTTGTTCCCAGTTCTTTTTACTAAACTCTCCTTGAAAAAACTTTGAAACGAAAATTTAAGAACAGAATTAGAAATGACCCTGCATTAGGAACAATTATCATTCAGCAGTGCATTCCTATTTGGATTTAGTTTACTTTAGATGCAAGAATGAATTACGCATCTAGAAAGTAAACAAGAAATTGGAAAGTCACTAGTGTAGAATTTGTAATCCTTAAGACACGGGAAAGAAAAAGTTTTAAAAGCAAGTTAATGACGTAATCTACTTCCTTTCTAAGCTACTTAGAAATATTTTCTGTGTAACTGTATACATGCCAAGATCAGAGTGATGAGACTGATGCACTTCTTACTACAGATCATTCTTTATACGTTTAAGTCCAGAACATTTGTTAGCCAGCTGTTGAATTTCTATGTATAAAAGTAATCTCTTTTCTAAATGGTCCAAAATTCAGGTGGGGCTTTCTCTACTTCAAGCCTAGTTGCTGAGCTTTTTGGTTTCGTTATTATATTAATTTCCATTCAGAGCTTCTAATGTGTCGGCCCTGAGCCTGTTACTGGCGCGCGTAGAATAAACAGGTTTTCCAGAGTGCTTCTGCTCCTATTTGCTGCCTGGAAAAAACTTTGTTTCCGGAATAATTGAGTTAATTCTCCTTTTTTCTTCCCATTTTTATTGAGGAATTATTGACATACATCACTGTGTAAGTTTAAGGTATGAAGAATGAGGGCTTCGTTTACATATATTATGAAACGATTACCACAGTAAGTTTAGTTAACATCCATCATCTCATAGAAAAATTTTTGTCCTTTTATAAAAAATAGTTTGTCATGGGAGTTCCCTGGTGACCTAGTGGTTAGGATCCCTGGCTTTCACTGCCTTGACCCGGGTTCAATCCCTGGTTGGGGAACTGAGATTCTGCAAGCTGTGTGGTGCAGCCAAAAAAAAAAAAAAAGTAGTTTGTCACATGATTTTGACATATGTTGAAATAACAAAACTGAAAAAAGCAAAACAACACTTATCTAAGAAATTCACAGTAATTTTACTTTCTGATTTCTGTATTAATGAAAAACATTATCATTTTGCATCTTTGTTTACATCTCTCTTGTTTTTTCCCTAAGCCAGACATTTAAAAAATGCTGCTTACTTGAAAAGTGCAATTTAAGCAAATAAGTTCTTAAATAGTTGGCACTCCCTCAAGTAGCATCCATATGCCAAGTATCCCTTAACCTAGAGTAGGTTTTTTTAATGCCAGTGTAGGTGTCCATAACTACAGAGCATGCTACTTGTAGAAAAGATTGATCATAGAATTGATAAATCAAGGAAGAACCTGTTCATTCCACTAAACTGCCTCTAAAGGAAACCAGCTAGTATTCATAACTGCTAAACTCCTGTTATATGCAGAGGACTGAAGTGTCAGGAGGGGTGATAGATAGTAGATACAACTCTGACTTAGAGGTGCATGACAATCTAGTTAAAATGTAGGACGAATTCAACTGCTAAAGAGCACATTTATAAAGCAGCATAATAGGTTTAATACAAGATGGTTTTTTCTTGCTAAAACTCTGATAGGGTAGTGTGTGTTTTGTTATCACATGGGGTTACATGATTTTAGCCAAAGTACATAAAAATAACATCTTGTTTGGATATATATATATATATATATATTTAAATATTTATTTGGCTACGTTGGTTCTTAGTTGCGGCTTGAGGGATCTTTTGTTGCGGTGTGCGGGCTTCTCTCTAGTTGTGGCGCACGGGCTTAGTTGCCCCGTGGCATGTGGGATCTTAGTTCCCCATCCAGGGATCGAACCTGCTTCTCCTGCATTGGAAGGTGGATTCTTAACCATTGGACCACCAGGGAAGTCCCTGGATATATGTTTTTATGTTTAACTCGGAGGCAGAATTTGGCATAATGTGATTGGTATTAGATCAACGATAGATAATTTTCAGTCTAAGAATTATGAATTTCAAATTTTAAAGCCGATTATTCAAATTTATCTTAATTTACCCTAAATAACAGTAATAGTAAAGTTTCTTACTAACTTTAATAGTTGACCTTTTTTTTCCCCCTTTGGTTATGTATCTTCTTATTTTATGTAAACTGTATCAATGTTTGTGCTCTTTCTTGTAGAGTGAATTAGATGACTTGGAATATATGTATGACCTCTTCTCAGTTATTATACACAAAGGTGGTTGCTACGGAGGCCATTATCATGTGTATATTAAAGATGTAGATCATTTGGGAAACTGGCAGTTTCAAGTAAGTATAGAAATTAGATTAAAAGTATCTTTGCAACTTTTTCCTTTTCTAGTCCCATTATCTTGGTGAGGCTAATCTTTTGCCATTTATTATATATTCACTCTAGAAAACTTATAGGCACTGAAGGTTAATACAGATAGATGTTTAAATTTTTTATTTCTAAATAATTTCACACTTACAGAAAAATAACCAGCATAGTACAAACACCTCCTGTATACTCTTCACCTAGGTTCTCCAGTTGTTAACCATCTTGCCACATTTGTGCAGTCACATCCTCTGTATACAGACGCATGCACACACACACAGTTAACATTATCATTATCAGTGCTGACCACTAGAAATAAAGTTGAAGACATTAGACCTCTTTACCCCTAAATAACTCAGTGTTTATCTCCTGAGAACCAGGACATTCTCTTACATAAGCATAGGTCAAAATCAGGAACTTTAACACTGATATAATATTATTTATTATCTAATATATGTTTTATATTCAGATTTCACAGCGGCCTCATCCAAATCCTTTAGAGCATTTTCTGCCCCACTCTAGTATCAAGCCCAGGATCGTGCATTAGATTTAGTTAGCATATGTCTTAAGTCTCCTTTAATCAGTAACCATTCCTCAGCTTTTCTTTCTTTCATGGCAGCAACCAAAGATTTTCCTCCTATATTGTCTTCTAAAACTTTAATAGTTTTGCCTTTTACAAGTTGAAACTTCAGTCTTCCTGGAATGCTTTGCTGTGAATGTTGTGATGTTGTTTTTCCATCTGGGTACCGAGTTGCCCATCACCATTTATTGAATGAGCCATTCTTTCTCCACCAGTTTACAATGCCAGTTCTGTTATATCAGTTGTTTTCTTACATTTGAGTCCATTTTGGGGCTCTGTATTCTGTTTTTGTTGTTGTTGTTATTTTTTCCTATTCCTAGGTAAATACCACATTGTTAATTTCTGTAGCTTTATACTATGTTATGATAACTGGTAGGGCAAGTCTCCCTATGTGTTATTATTCTTCAGGAGTGTTTTGCCTACCTTGGATTTTAATGCTTTTCTGAACATTTCTAGAATCACCTTGTCAATATTCTCACACATACACACACATAAAAGTAGTGGCATTTTGTATCTACATGTGTAAACAAGATACATCTTTTTGGTTTTTAGAGCTGCTTTAATGTCTTCTAAAAAAGTTTCATAATTTTCTCTAGAAGAGAAAGCACTAATTGGGAATCCACTTCCAGTTATTTGCAGTGGGAAAAATTATAATCTATTACACACCAGCACCAAACTCTCAACCAGTTTTCTAAAATGTAACTAAAACACTGGTAAGTTCCAACCCATCATGTTAGGATGTAGAATGCTTAAAACCTATCTTCAAGAGTGTCAAACAGGGGCTTCCCTGGTGGCGCAGTGGTTGAGAGTCCGCCTGCCGATGCAAGGGACATGGGTTCGTGCCCTGGTCCGGGAAGATCCCACATGCCGCGGAGCGGCTGGGCCCGTGAGCCATGGCCGCTGAGCCTGCGTGTCCGGAGCCTGTGCTCCGCAACGGGAGAGGCCACAATGGTGAGACGCCTGTACAAAAAAAAAAAAAAAAAAAAAAAAGAGTGTCAAACAGTTAATATTGTTGTGAATGAAAAGTTGCTCCACATGTAATAACATGGCTTCTCTGAGTGCCAGCAGTATTGAAGATGCTGTGTTCCCTTTGTTGACATTCACTTTGCCTTTCAGAACATCTACCTGTGTTTCTGGTGCTCTATCAGTTGTACTTAGAACGTACTGAGAGATAACATATGTTTTGTAAAGTTTGAGTATTTAAAATCTAACTGTTCTAGTGGGAAAATGTTGATCGGGGAGGTGTTTTGTGGGGCTATGTCTATACTGTATTTTTTGGACTATTTGTGGCTGGTGTATTGAAGTACAGTTATCTTTAGTACATTGATTTTATAATCAACCATCTTGCTAAACCCTCTTATGTTGTAGACATTTTTGGAAAAAGACAGTTTTGTTTCACTCTTTGTGGTCCTTAACCTTCCATTTCTTTTATTTCTAGAACTGGGTTTATCCAGTTCTGGGTTGAGGAAGCCATACAAGCATCTCTCAAATGCTTGTGCCATATTTGCCAAGACACTAGCTTGTTTGGGCACATTCCAGTCAGATGGAGTGAAGCACTTCTTATCCTCCTCTGGTCTAACTCTGCTCTCCATGTTTCCATCCTTCGTTGCTGATTCTTATTACCCTGTTGCCTTCCTTCACTCTGCTGTCTTACAGTTGCAGGGTCCCGTAGTAGTGAACCTTACCCTCTAGGGCACCCCCAGCCCTTTCAAACAATTATTTTAACTTTATTTCATTCTCTTTAAAAGATGAAGTTGAAGCCTTTTATTAGATTCTCATAGAAACTTGCGAACAGGTCTAATAAATAGTTACGATGTTGTTCATTTATTTTTTTCTCTTTGCCTTTTCCACTGTAGTTCTTGGTTTTTTCCTTCCATTTATGCTGCCATTTGTGGTAGCTTTTTCTTCTGATGTTGCCCTGTCTCTCTTCAGCCTTAGAAAGTGCCCCTGTGCTCCATGTCAGTTCGGCTTCCGCCTTGGGAGTGTGTCTCTGCTTTCCTCCATGTTGGCTGCAGACATTTCTTCAATTTTGCTCAGCCATTGTCAGATTTCAGGCACTTCTCTAGCTGGTGGGATTTATCCTCAGTATTTTGAGGCATAAAATATTTATTTACAGTTTCCTATTTAAGTTTATCATTGACATCATGCACAGAGGTAGCTTCACACTGTGTGGTGAGGTAGTGTGGCTCAAAAGTAATGATTCTTTTCTTTGTGTCTTCCTTTTGGTTTGTGCTTCCTTGAACTTCTCTGCAATTTTGTGGTCATTTCTTTGGAAATGATCAGCAGCGTCAAGCTCTTCTCCCGGTTCCATTACGTGACTCGAGAGGGCAGGCAGGCATTCTTTCATTTGGTTTTGCCCTCTGCACTGCTTCTCTGGTCTTGAAGCTCTGTTACTTTAGCAAGGTCTTCCTTGGGGCTTAAAGAACAATCAGAAGATTGCTTTCCGTTTGTGCTTGTGTATTTCTTTATTCACGGCCTCTATGAAGCATCCCTTTTTTTTTTTTTTAATTCTGCTCTTTAAGAATCACGAGCTTTGTGGTGTTCGCATAATGATGAGTGCTTTAAGAATTTCAGCTTCAGTAGGTACACCTGATGGACACTGCTCTACTACCATTATCCTGAGAGATCTCTTATACCCAGAGACAAAGGATTCCAGATACACTAAACATAGACAGGTATTGTTTCTTCTGCTTATAGTTTAGCAATTTCTTCTTCCCTTTCAAGGAGCTGTCTGCAAGGAGCAAGTTTCATGACCAACCCCACATAATGTTCCCTGGGTGAAAGCCAACATCTCAGTCTCTCTCAACCTGAGTAGAAGATGATCTCTTGCCTCTTGCATGGAGGTCATTAACTATTCAAAATGTGGCTCTCGATCTGGTGTAAAGAGGAGCCTGACCTGTGCCTTCCAAAGTGGGGTCTTTTGCTTCACTGATGGTTGACATCACTTCAAGCATTATCTTGCACATTTGAGGATGTGGGACAAAGAAGTTTTACAACAGCTCCCAGTAGGCAGCCCTGGGACTGGTGCCTCCTGGACCAGCCTGTCCCCACAAGGCCAAGGTTGGACACCGGCAGAGTGCAGGAGGACTGGGCCCAGCCCATGTGCCACCTGCACCAGCGTGTCACACCCTAGGCAGTGCCGGCCTGCGTCTCTCCTCCTACCATTTTTATTATTTTTTTTTTCGCAGTATGCGGACCTCTCACTGCTGTGGCCTCTCCCGTTGCGGAGCACAGGCTCCGGACGCGCAGGCTCAGCGGCCACGGCTCACGGGCCCAGCCGCTCCGCGGCATGTGGGATCTTCCCGGACCGGGGCACGAACCCATGTCCCTTGCATCGGCAGGCGGACTCTCAACCACTGCGCCACCAGGGAAGCCTTCTCCTACCATTTTTAAATCTCTTGTTCCTTAGCCATAAATGTCTTTAAACATATTAAACATACTATTTCATTATTCTCTGATAATTGCGATATCTGAAGACTTTGTGGGTCTTTGGATATCTGCTGATTCCTTATGCTGATTTCCTTATGATTTTGTTATTTTAGACTGTGGTCTTGGTTGGCTGTTTGGTTTTGTAAGAACACGGTGTAGGAGTAATTTGAAGCCTGAGTTAAAAGTACCTTCTTCCACGAAAGATGTGTATTTGTCTCTACCACATGCCTGGGGTCACCTCTAGTGTTTAATACCTTTAAAATAAGATCTAGACTTGGTGGTTCTAGAGCCATACAACTAATGTGAATTTGGGGCACAAACCCACATGAAGACCTACTTACTTGTGATTACAGATTATTAGAGGAAATGTTTTTCCACCTTCATCTAGTATCAAGGTCAAAACAAGCAAGTTTCTCATTGTCCCTTGTTGTGGGGTGGATTTTTTGATGGGTCATGCTTATATTAATAGCGTAGTCCTTTCAGGTTTCTAGCTTTCCTCTGGAATCAATCTTTGTGGTATGATAAAAAATATATACTTGGTCCTTGTCCCAGGTCCCTGGCACAGAGCTCCTTGAAATTTCCTGAGTGATAGGCATGTCTTTTCTTGTTCATAATGAACCCCTTTCAACCATACCTGAGTTTATGCTAATGAGGTTACCTGCAGGGTGAGGGCTGGTCAGCAGAGAAACCAACCACATGATTAGAGGGTTGGAACTTTCAGACCCACCCCCTCACCCAGGGAGGCACAGGGGCTGGAGATTGAGTTTGGTCACCAAGGGCCAATGATTTAATCAGTCATGCCCGCATAATGAAACTTTGATTAACACTCTGGAAGAAGAGGACTAAGCTAGTTTCCAGGTTGGTGAATACATCCATGTGCAGGGAGGGTGGCCACCCCAACTCCACGTGGACAGAGGCTTCTGCACTCGGGACCCTCCCCAGCCTTGCCCTGTGTACCTTCATCTGGATGTTCGTTTGTATCCTTTGTAATAAACTCTAGTCCTGAGTATAAGTTCCTGAGTTCTATGAGCTGTTCCAGGAAGTTATCAGACATGAAGTGGAGCTTGTAGAATTTGTGATCAGCCAGGCCGAAGTGCAGGTAGCCTGGGAACCCCGTTTGTGGCTGGTGTCTGAAGTGGGGGCAGCCTCGTGGCACTCAGCAACATTAGTGTCAGAATTGAATTAACGGACAGCCAGGTGGTGTCAAAGAATTGGAGAGCTGGTTGTTTAGAAAACCAGCCATTCAACTCCCCACTTTGGGTATGTCCTTACGCTTTGTCTCCCAGACCCTGTCCTGTATGAGCATCAAGGTGGAAGCCGTGTGTCAGCAAGGTTGAGCGGCTGGAGACCTCAACTCTGGATTTCTTCCCTGGATTCTCATGTCACTTGTTCTCTGAGGATTTTCCCAATGTTCTGTTGCTAGTTCGGCGTGTGTTTAAAAAGAGATTTTCTTTTGTTGTGTGTTTTACTTTATCCAGCATTTTTAGTAATTTTACAGCAGGATGGTTGTATTTCATCTGCCGTATTCTTCTATATTTCTTTATTAGTTTATTCTTCTATATTTCTTTATTAGTTTTGTCTTATGTTAACTGTTTAGGTCTATTTGTGTTTATGATTTTAAGCCAGTTTAAAATACCTTTGCAAGATGCCATGTATGAAATAATAAAAATACCTTATCAGGGGAATTTTGACATGTTTCCAAGTAACATCATAAGATGGGGTGCAAACTTGGGTGATCAGAAAATAGGAGGGAGGGACTTCCCTGGTGGCGGAGTGGTTTAGAATCTGCCTGCCAATGCAGGGGACACGGGTTCGAGCCCTGGTCCAGGAAGATCCCACATGCCACGGAGCAACTAAGCCCATGTGCCACAACTTCTGAGCCCGCGTGCCACAGCTACTGAAGCCCGTGCACCTAGAGCCCGTGCTCCACAATAAGAGAAGCCGCCGCAGTGAGAAGCCCGCACACCAAAACGAAGAGTAGCCCCTGCTCGCTGCAACTAGAGAAAGCCCGCGCGCAGCAACGAAGACCCAACGCAGCCAAAAATAAAGAAAGAAAATAGGGAATGTTTAAGCTGAGCTTGCAGAGGTTGGTAGGATTTTGTTAGGCCAACATAAGTGAGTGAGAATAAATTGGGTGGAGACCAGAAAATACTTTGAACTGAATGATAATGAAAACACAACATATCAAAATTGTAGGATGCAGCTAAAGTAGTGCTTAGTGGGAAAATGTTGGAACCCGCTGTGTGTATTGTGCTAGAAGCTTTCCTTATCTCACAATCCCAATTTACAGATAATGCCAGAGAGATTAGGTAATTTGTCCAGGATTATTCAACCACAGTTGAAATTTAAAACCAGGCTGCCTGATTCCAAAGCATATACAAATTATTATGATGTTTTTATGACCATTTCTCCATCTTGAAACCTCTGTGGCACAGACACTCCTATTTCGTTAACTGCTTTTTAAGGGATTAGTGATAGAAACTTTTTTTTTAACTTTTATTTGCATTTTTTTTTTTTGCAGCATTTATTCCTGGGCCGTAAGTTTTTGTTTCTTCAGTTTCTTCTGGTATATGTTTCTTCTGGACAACCTCCTCTTCTGGTTTAGGAACAATCTGTTCTTTTTCAGTAAGGATCATCTCAGTGTGGCAGGGAGAGCTCATGTATGGGTTGATCCCACCATGAGCTCTGTAAGTCCTGCACGGCATCTTGTGGGCTTTGTTCACCTGGATGTGCTCAGTGACCAGAGAATCTACATCTAAGCCCTTAAGTTCAGCGTTACTCTCTGCATTTTTGAGCATGTGCAGTAGAAATTCAACACTCTTTTTGGGCCACCAACCCTGCATCCAGCCCCACTGTTTGGCCTGGGCACACCTCCCAACTCCACCATTGTAATGACAGAATAGCACACACTGCTTCTTTAAAGTGACATCCTTCAGATACTTGGTGGCTTTTCGGATATGCATATCCTTAATGGCCCGGGCAGTTTCGTGAGTGTTCTTAAAGTGAACACGAAGATTTGAATCTCTTGCATGATTTTGTGGGGTTTTCTGGGTCAGGTGAATAGTGAAGCATTTTTAGAGGTCACCTCAGGCTGCTTACCAGAAAAGAGAAACTTTTTTATTGTTTTCTTTCTTAGGAGGACAAAAGTAATCCAGATGTGAATTTGGAAGATCTTCAAAATGAAGAAGAGATTGATGATCCATTGATGATTCTAAAAGCAGTCTTGTTACAGGTAGAGAGAGAGTGTGTATGTTTATATTTGTGTATGTATATCAGATGTATGATTCAGTTGGCAGAAGTGATATTGTTACTATTCATAGTCTTTTTCTTTTGGGAAATTCTCTGTCTATTTAAAAAAATTTTTTTATTGGAGACTTTCTGGTTATAAAAGGAATACATATGAATAATAGAAAATTTGAGGGGAAAAAATTAGAAAGTATATAAAGAAACAAAGTTTAAATAAACCAAATGTCCGGTCATTGTTAACACTTTGATATATATTCTTTGCATTCTATTTCCTTTGTGTTTATATACATATATTGGGATTGGGTTACAAGTTTTTGTGATATTATTATTGTTATTTTAAATTGAATTGGAATTTACTTTACATACGATTTTGGAATTTACTGTTTTCCCATATTATCCTTTTAATGTCTGTAGGACCTGAAGTTATGTCCCCTTTTTCATTCCCAATATTGATAATACCTCACGTATGTGACTTTTAATGTTTGCTTCGTACCCTGTTGTAAGGATGGTAGCCTCATTTCATTTATTCATTCGTTCTTAATAAACAGTTTTTATCTCAATTTCTTACTACGGACCTAGGTTGAGTATTGGTCTATGGCCACTGTATCAGTCTACTAGGGCTGCCATAACAAAATCCCACAGACTGGGTGTCTAACGTAACAGAAATTTATTTTCTCATAGTGCTGGAGGCTGGAAGTCCAGATCAAGGTGTCAGCAGGTTTCTTCTGAGGCCTCTCTCCTTGGCTTGTGGATGGCTGCCTTCTTGCTGCTTTCTCCCTTGGTCTTTTCTTTGTGCGTGCGCATCCCTGTGTCTTTGTGTGTCCAAATTTCCTCTTCTTATAAGGACACCAGTCAGATTGGATAAGGGCCCACCCTAAAGGCCTTATTTTAACTTAATCACTTCTTTAAAGGCCCTATCCAAATATAGTCACAGTTGAAATTTTGAGGGTTAGGAATTCAGCATATGAATTCTGATAGTAGAGGGACACATTTCAGCCCATAATAGTCACTTCTTACCCCCTTTTAGAACTTGGTTATACTTCAGAACATTCAGAAGAGACAGTCTTTTTGCACTAAAGTATTTCTTCTAAAAATCCCACATAATATCAGGATTTACCAAACCTTGGAATACTCTTTGGATATTGCTCTTGAAATGTTTAGACTTTGCCGCACGGAAAGTGGCAGAATTCAAGTTTTCTAAACTTAGGCTTAATCTATTTTTTTTTAAACTTTTTATTTTGAAACAATTATGGTTAATTGTAACCATGGTTACATGTTTGCTGTTACAGGCACATTTATTAATCCTGTTGGGTCCGTTGAACTCATAAGTGTTGAGGTTATATCTTATCAGACTTTCTTAAATGACTTTCTTTTCTCTCATAAGGAGGAGAGTAATCTAATTCCTGTTGATCAGCTGGGCCAGAAACTCTTGAAAAAGATAGGAATATCTTGGAATAAGAAGTATAGAAAACAGTATGGACCACTGCGAAAGGTAATACATGACATCCTTATAAAAAGTCCTATTCCCAGGAAATTTTATTATGATTTTGGCAACATGAATTTCTTTGGGGAAGGAAATTTAAATTAGACGGAAATACAATCAGTATTTTGTTTAATGATTAGAACTCAGTTAATTATTAAGTAATTTATAGAATCAAGAAGTAAGCAAAAAAAGAAGAGAGGAGGGGCTTTTAATCACAACAGCAAAAAATGTCACAAAGTTCATATCCTAAAGCTTATCATCTTATTTATAGAAACGTCTTCAGGTATTCACCCAAATTTCACTTTTATCTTTCTTTGACACACAGTTCTACTAAACTTGGCAATCTGGCTTCCTAGGCTGTAAGGTTAGGTTTAAAAACTGGTACTGCCAGACTTGGGAGACAAAAACTTGACTAAAAACAAGCAGAGCAACAGAACAGTTAGTCAATATTTTGGAGCTATTTCTTGTAGAAGCAAAGAGCGTACACAATATAGCCTGTGTTTAAGTTCACCTTTTAATTAGACCACAGTTCGTAAATGAAATTAATGACCATGAGTTCATAGACAGTCCTAGGTTTTCATTTAAAACGATTGGATCAGTGTTTCAATATTTTACTGTTAAGTATGTTATCAGCTGTGCAGGGACTTTTTTGTCTTGTTTTGTTTTTAAATAAAAATATCCTTCATAAATTTGAGGAAGTTAGCTTGTACTTATAGTTGACTGATAGTCTTATGTCTTTTTTCTTTGAGGTTAATTTGTGCTTTTATTTGCCAGTATAACTTAACTACAATGGCTTGCAAACTTTTTTGACCTAAAAAATGCATCTTACATCACAATCCAACCAACACACACGTATATAACTTGTATACATATGTGTATAACTGAAATGAGTTTTGCCAAAAATACCTATCCTAACACTGAATGTTCTTTTTTTTAAGACTTTTTTTTGAGTAGTTTTAGGTTTACAATAAAATTAACAAGAAGGTACAGAAATTTCCCATATACCCCCTTCCCGCATACGTGCGTAGGTGTTATCAGTATCACTCATCAGGGTGGTGTGTTTCTTTTTTTTACCCTAAACCAAGGATGAACTACATTGACACATCATAATTGCCAAAGTCCACAGTTCACCTAAGGTTCATTCTAATGGAGTAGATAGTATGGTACATTCTGTAGGTTTGGACAAAAGTATACTGACATATATCCATTGTTATAATGTCATACAAAGTATTTTCTCTGCACTAAAAAACTGTACTCTGTGTATTCATCACCCCTGTCCCCCAAACTCCTGGCAGCCACTGGTATTTTTATTGTCTCCATAGTTTTGCCTTTTCCAGAATGGCATATAGTTGGAATCTCTCTCTTTCTTTTTTTTTTTTTTTTCTCTTGAAAAGAGAGGTTCAAAGCCTTTATATTTATGAGACCACTCATGGCCCACCCATTCATGGGCTGGACGGGCTCTATGTGGCAGGACTTCCCCACTAAATACTGCAGCTTTTCTTCCAATATTGAACCCTGTCCCACTGGTCTTGCCCAGCAGCCACGTGAAGTGCAGGAGGACACATGTAGAGTGTTTGTTCATCGGAAGAGGCCAGAAGCCTTAGGCCCATTATCACAGTGAACCCAGATTCCTTTCGGGTGTGATATAGGCAGCTGGTAGTTTCATCTTGAATAGAGGTTGGATTTTATCACATGCTGTTTTGTTTACATTTGTCGATGTGATCACATGGCTGTTCTCTTTTATTCAGTTAATGTGGTGAATTCTGTTGACTGACCTTTTCAGTGTGAACGCAAACCTTACATTTCTGGGGTAAAGCACACTTGGTCGTGATGTACTTGTATGCATTGCTGTATGCATTTGGCTCATATTTTCCTAAGGATTTTGTGTCTGTGAGAGAGATGGGTCTTTAAGTTTCTTTCTCTGTAATATCTTTGTCAGGTTTCAGTATCAGGGTTATGCAGGACTCAAAAGAAGTTAGGAAATGTTCCCTTTTTTATATTCTTGGAAAGGATTTCTCTGAGATAGATTATTATTTCTTTCTTAAATGTTTGGTGAAGCTAGTTAGACCTGGAATTTTTTTTATGGCAAGGTTTTTAAATTATAGTTTTAATTTCTTTATTTGTAGAGTTGTTTTAGATTTTTTATTTCTTGAATGGTTTTGGAAAATTATATTTTTTAAAGAACTTGTCCTTTTATCTGCGGTGTCAAATTTATTGGCGTGAAGCTATTCAAAATGTCTCATTATCTTTTCTAGTGTCTGTAGGACCTAAATTTCCTCTTTTTAATTCCTGATATTAATAATTTGTGTTTGCTTCCTTTTGTTTTTCATAAGTCTTGCTTAGGGCTTATCAAGTTTATTAAGCTTTTCAAAAAACAACTTTTTTGCCTTTATTGATTTTTCTCTACTAATCTGTTTTCTACTTCATTGATTTCTGCTCTTGTTTTTAATTATTTCCTTCCTTTTACCTTTGGTATTTAATTTAATCATCTTTTTCTAGCTTCTTGGGTTGGTATCTCAGCAGGTTTTTTAAACCTGCCTTTAACAATTTTTTTTTTAAATAAATTTATTTATTCTTTGGCTGTGTTGGGTCTTCGTTTCTGTGCGAGGGCTTTCTTGGCGAGAAAGCTTTTGCGGCGAGCGGGGGCCGCTCTTCATCACGCTGCACGGGCCTCTCACTGTCGCAGCCTCTCCCGTTGCGGAGCACAGGCTCCAGACATGCAGGCTCAGTAGTGTGGCTCACGGGCCTAGTTGCTCCACGGCACGTGGGATCTTCCCAGACCAGGGCTCGAACCCGTGTCCCCTGCATTGGCAGGCAGATTCTTAACAACTGCGCCACCAGGGAAGCCCTAAACATGCCTTTTAATTCATGCTTTTAAATCTTTAATTTCCTTCTTAGCGCTAATTTAGCTGTAGCTAAATTTGACATGTTATTATTATCTTTCAATTCAAAATATTTTGTAATTTTTCCTTCTGATTCTTTTATTGACCCATGAGGTTTTTGGAGGTGGATTGCTTAATTTCCAAATATTTGGGGAATTTCTAGTTATCTTTTTGTTATATCTATAAATTGATGTCTAATTCCATTTTACTCTGAAAACATGCTCTCTATGATTTCACTTATTCTGAATTTTTTGAGACTTGTTTCATGCCTCAGGATATGGTCTGTCTTGCTGAATGTTTCTATTCACCAGTAAAGTTATTAATTTTCTACATTTGTTGGGTATAGTGTTTCATAAATGTCAGCTAGGTCAAATTGGTTAATAACATTCTTTATTTCATCCCTATTCTTAACTAATTTTTCTGTCTTTTTGTTGTATCAGTTACTGAGAGAGTAGTTTTAAATCTCCAACTCTAATTGTACCTTTGCCCTTTCGTCCTTTTACTGTTGACAGTTTTGCTTCATGTATCTTGAAGATATATTATTAGTTGCATACACATTTTGGATTGTTAATGGCCTCTTGACGTATGCCCTTCCTTTATCTCTGCTGATAGTCCTTACCTTCACATCTACCTTATCTGGTATTAATGTAACATACAAGCTTTCTAATGCAAGTGTGTCTCTTGTAAACAGTATGAAGTTGGTTCCTGCTTATTTTGGAAAATTGTGATTTTTAAGGAATTTGTTCTCAAAGTGTCAAATTTCTTAGTATAAAGTTGCTTGAAATATTACCATATTATCCTTTTAATTTCTGTAGGACCTGTAGGACCCTATTTCATTTCTAATATTGGTAATTTGTGTTTCTTAGCTTTCTTTTGCATCAGTCTTGCTAGGGATTTGTCAAGGTTATTATACTTTTCTTTTTTTAAAATAATTAGTTAATTTAACTTTTGGCTATGTTGGGTCTTTGTTGCTGCACGCAGGCTTTCTAGTTGCGGTGAGCAGGGGCTACTCTTTATCGCGGTGCACAGACTTCTTATTGCAGTGGCTTCTTTTGTGGAGCACAGGCTCTAGGCGCACAGCCTTAAGTAGTTGTTGCACGCGGGCTCTAGAGCGCAGACTCAGTAGTTGTGGCGCACAGGCTTAGTTACTCCACGGCATGTGGGACCTTCCCAGACCGGGGCTCGAACCTGTGTCCCTTGCATTGGCAGGCGGATTCTTAACCACAGCACCACCAGGGAAGTCCAAGGTTATTAGACTTCTCAAAGAAACAGCTTTGCATTTGTTGTTTTTCTCTATTGTTCATCTGTTTTCTATCAAATGATAGAGTTTGACAGTCTCTTCCTTTAAATTAGAATGTTCAGTACATTTATTTTTTTATTAATTTTTTTAAAAATTAATTTATTTTTGGCTGCATTGGGTCTTTGCTGCGCGTGGGCTTTCTCTAGTTGCAGTGAGCAGAGGCTGCTCTTTGTTGCAATGTGTGGACTTCTCATTGCAGTGGCCTCTCTTGTTGGGGAGCACAGGCTCTAGGCACGTGGGCTTCAGTAGTTGTGGCACGCGGGCTAGGTCATTGTAGCTCGCGGGCTTTAGAGCACAGGCTCAGTAGTTGTGGCGCACGGGCTTAGTTGCTCCACGGCATGTGGAATCTTCCCAGACCAGGAATTGAACCCATGTCCCCTGCATTGGCAGGCGGATTCTTAACCACTGCACCACCAGGGAAGCCCCCATTTATTTTTAATGTATTAAATTGTGTGGTTGAGTTTGAATTTATCATGTAGCCATTTGTTTTTTATTTGCTTCTCCTGTCTTTCTTGCCTTTCTTTCTTTCTGTCTTTCATACCTTTGGATTAATCAAGTAATTTTTAGTGTTTGATTTTTGTCTCCTCTGTTGACTTTTTAGCTGTACTACTTTAACTTTTTTACTCTAGGGATTACACTGTACATAAGTTAATATTATAAATTACAGACCAATACTGTTAACACTTCATGTACAAGGTAAGATGTACAAGGTACGGTAGCATAATTCCATTTCCCGACTTCCATCCTTTTCAGCTGTTGTCTTATATTTTACAGTTATATGTAAATTCACCGTGTGTGTATGTATGTATGTATGTGTTTACTTTAAACATTTAAGCAACTTTTAAAGAAATTAATGAAAAAATCGTGTTTTATTTTATCCATTCTGGTGTTCATTGCTCCTTCTTGCATGTCCAGGTTTGCATCTAATATCATTTCCCTTCAACTAGAGAACTTCCTTTAGCGGTTCTTGGGCATCCAGAACTGCTGGCAAAAATATTCTCAGCTTTTGTTTATCTGAAGTTTTTATCTTGCATTCATTTGTTTAAATGGTATTTTTGCTGGTTATAGAATTCTTTTTTTCTTTTTAAAAAATTATTTATTTTTGGTTGCATTGGGTCTTCGTTGCTGCACATGGGCTTTCTCTAGTTGGGTTGAGTGGGGGCTACTCTTCATGGTGGTGTGCAGGCTTCTTATTGCAATGGCTTCTCTTGTTGCAGAGCACGGGCTCTAGGCGCGTGGGCTTCAGTAGTTATGGCACATGGGCTTCAGTAGTTATGGCACACGGTCTCAGTAGTTGTGGCTCGTGGACTCTAGAGCACAGGCTCAGTAGTTGTGGCACACGGGCTTAGTTGCTCCATGGCATGTGGGATCTTCCCGGACCAGGGATCGAACCCGTGTCCCCTGCATTGGCAGGCTCCTGCGCCACCAGGGAAGTCCTGGATACAGAATTCTAGGTTAATAGCTCTTATTGGTTTTTTCAGGACTTTAAAGATGTCATTTTATTATGTTTTGGCTTGCTTTATTTTGGCTGAGAAGTCAGTGTTACTTAAATGTAATGTGTCTTTTTCTTCTACTTTTAAGATAATCTCTTTATCTTTGGTTTTTAGCAATTTAATAACAGTGTGTCTCAGTATGGTGTTCTTTGTGTTTATTTGCTTTGTATTTTCTAAGATTTTTTTAATCTGTGGCTTGAAATCTTCAGTTTTGGCCATTATATTTTCAGTTTGTTTTTATGCCCCATTATCTCTCTCTTCTTCAGAAATTACAGTTACATATATATTGGACCATTCAGTATTTCCTCACTGGTCTTAGATATTCTAGCAGGAGGTGTTTTTTTCCCCCCCTCACCCTCAATTTGGAGAATTTCCATTGATCTGTCTTCATGTTCATTGATTCTTTCTCCTACTGTATCCAGTCTTCTGTTAAGCCCAGCCAATGAATTAATGAATTCTTTCATTTCAGATATTGTGTTATTCAGCTGTAGAATTTTTTCTTAGCTCTTATTTAACGTGCCCGTTTCTCTGCTGAAATTCCCCATTTGAACCTACTCTGTACATCCTTTCCTGTAAATTTATATATTTCATTAGCTGTTTACTCTTATAACATCTGGATTATTTCTGGGTCTGTAGTTATTACCTTTTTATTTCTTGTGAATTGACTGTGTCATCTCTTGGTTATGAATCACATTGTCCTGTTTCTTTGCATGTCATATACTCTTATATTGCCTACTGGACATTGTGGATGATGTGTTTTAGAGGCTGTGGATTATGTTACTGTTTTTTAGAAGGTTTATATATTTATTATTTTTGGCTGCATTGGGTCTTCGTTGCTGTGCGTGGGCTTTCTCTAGTTGCAGCGAGTGCGGACTACTCTTTGTTGCGGTGCACAGGCTTCTTATTGCAGAGGCTTCTCTTGTTGTGGAGCACGGGCTCTAGGCACGTGGGCTCAGTAGCTGTGGCTCATGGGCTCTAGAGTGCAGGCTTAGTAGTTGTGGCTCACAGGCTCAGTTGCTCCGCAGCATGTGGGATCTTCCCGGACCAGGGCTCGAACCCATGTCCCCTGCATTGGCAGGCTGATTCTTAACCACTGCACCACCAGGCAAGTCCTGTGTTATTGTTTCTAAAGGGCTTTTCATTATATTCTAACAGGCCATTAAGTAACTTTGAATCATGTTGATCCTGTGGGAGCTTCATTTGGGGCTTTGGTAGGGTGGATCTGTTGCATTTAGCTGTTAGTCCTAGGGAGTAGCTGTTAGTCTTGGGGCCTGGATGGTCCTCCCTCTTAAGGCAGAGGTTAGCAAACATGGGGAAACTATGGCTTGCTGCCTTTTTTGTACAGCCCCCAGGTAAGAACCGTCTTTATATTTTCAAAGAGTTATCTTTAGAAAGGTGCTCAAGTTTGCCTCTTAGCCCACAAAGCCTAAAATACTTACCGTCTGGCCCTTTGTAGAAAAGTTTGCCAATCCCTGACCTGAGACATGGCCCTTCTAGGATTTCAGTGGAAAGCCTGAGGTGTTTGTCATATGCCTCTAATTTGGCAGGACTTCAACTCCATGCTCTTTCTTTCTTTTTTCTAATCTATCTTATTAATCCATTCACAACATGTTTATTTAACTCTATGCTCTTTCTACCCAGCAGCAGGGCACTAAAATCTCTACTCAGATCTTAAATCTCCCAGCTGTTGCTTTCTGCTCAGTTCCTTGGGTCTCAGGCTGTCCATGTACCATTTAAGACTCAGCCAAGGATTTGAGGAGGATTTGATAGAGATTTGGGGCTCCTTAATGGGATTTTCACTTTCTAGGCTCTGTGGCAGTCTCAAATTCTGTTTCCTTAGTCCAGTAAGACTCTTGCCCTTTGCTTGAACTCTCCTTCCGCCATGCTCTGCTACAAACTGGGAAGTGGTGGGTTAATGCAGGACTCACCTAGCTTGTTTCCCTTTTGAAGGATTATGTTCCCTCCACTTTAGGTCAGCTTTTGCTTACTCTCCAAACAATTGTTTTAATCAGTGGGGTTAGTCCAATTAAAAGTTCTCTGCCATTACTGGAACCAGACTACCCTGAAGTTTGAGGTTTAAGGGTTAATCCTCAACTATCAAACAAAGAAAAGATTCGCTATACAGAAAGTATTCATTACTCGGAGGTTTCAAATTATTATTTTATTGTACTTAAATTAGCTACAAAACTATATTACCATCTGTTATACACAGTGTTAACGATAATGCCTTTGGGTCATATGCCCTATACCCTTCTGTTTGATTAGAGAGTATACATTATCATAAATTCTTCCTTTCCAAGAAAAAATGAGAAAATCACTTTTCCGTGTTGATTGATGATCTAAGCAAATGTTACATATACCTCCCAAGTGATTTTCTACATAAAGTAGTTTGTACTGAGAGAGAAGGGGGTGATACAAAGCCACAAAGAGGTTAGGGAATAAAAGAAGAATAGAGTAGGGGATGGGGAGGTGAGATAGGCAATGGGGAGAGAAGGTTTTTTTCTTCCTAATCCTTTAGGTAGAGGAACCTGAGAAATGATAGTCTCTGAGATTATGACTTCAGCCTTGCAGTGTTCTGATTTCCTGAGCTAGCCTGTCAGCCTCCGGGACAGACAACACTGAATTTAGTTAATTGTGACTATATCCCAGCAGTTTGTCTGAGTCACTAGTTTTGAAATTATCTTCTATGGTACTTCATTGTATAATTGCCTTTGTTTTGTGCTCTGTTTGGATTGCTTTAAACATTTCAGAAGTGTTTGTTCTGTCTAATCTGTTTCAGTAAAGACTTTTTAAAAACAGCGTTACGAGGTATAATTAAAGTATTTTTAAGATTGTGTCATGGCAGCTTTCTCCCTTGGTATAACTGTTAGACTATTTAACAGAAAGCACTCTGGTTTTTATTAAATGTTTTATTATGGCGCAAATGAAATTTTTTTCCCTCTTAGCTGACCAGGCCAAAAAGTTGACGTTAAAATATCTAATCACAGAAAGGAAGGTAAAGATTTTGTAATCATGTCAATGAATTTTTTTTCATTAACCTAATGTTGGTTTTCTTTCTCTGTATAGTTTTTACAGCTTCATTCTCAGATATTTCTGCTCAGTTCAGATGAAAGTACAGTTAGTCTGTTGAAGGACTCTCCTCTCCAGGCTGAGTCTGATATACGAAGAAATGATCAACAACTTTTGAAGACACTTACTTCAGAACCCCCAGGATTAAATGATAGACCCTCCTGTCCCCACTGGTTTGATATAAACGATTCCAAAGTCCAGCCAATTAAGGAAAAGGATATTGAACAGCAATTTCAGGGTAAAGAAAGTGCCTACATGTTGTTTTATCGGAAATCCCAGTTGCAGAGACCCCCTGAAGGTATGGAAAGATAAATGTCCCTATTTGTTTAAGTTGATCGCTTTAGAAGATAAATATTGAATGTTATTTGAAAGTTTACCGTTTTAGAAGGTTTACTCTTGAAACATTTTAAAATATTTTCAAGCTAACCGTAAGAAATATACCAGAAAAAATTCAACATTCTGTCCTTTTATAAAGATTATATATTTCTGGTTTTTTCCCCTGTAATAGTATGAGGCTATAGTTAGATTTTCAAAATTGCATTTTCTTGGATCACATCATGTTTTCTTGTTGTGTGGGCAGACATGATTGTCCTCTGCTTAGGCTTCTCTCTGCAGTCTGGCCATGTGTTGTCTTTGAGTTGCAAGTGGCCTTGGTCTTATTTTCATGTGTTCTCTTTCATTTTCCTTTCTTTTTTCCTTTTCCTCAAGGTGATAAGTCTTTAAGCAATTGAAATACCTCTGAAGCCCTCTGTTGAATCTTCTAAGAGAGTTCATACCATGGTGGAGGTTAAACACTGAGACCCACAGTGATAAATTTTTGAATTGAAGCTACTAACATGAATCAGTCTGTAAGACTTTATTTGATCACTTCCCGAAATTTATGCAACTGGGAAAGCTCTTTAGATTGAGACGTATCTATGATTAGAGATGAGGATACTGTTCATAGAGAGTGAGCATAGTGATCATTTTTGTAAAGAATAAGAATAAAGCAGTTACCAGTTTGCAGATGAATCAAAGGAAATTAACTCTCTGGATCTGAAACAATTACATAACTGTTCTGTTGACCAGAAGGGCCTTTGTTTTTTTCTGAGGGGAAAAAATATGGTAATCGTTCTGATAAAAATATTGGGGAGCTGAATTCACAGTTACAGAAATATATATCAGTTTCTTCAGATGACGTATTGTCCTTTTCACTGAATTGAACTTCAGTGTGTACATGATTGGAATATGTACTAAGTGACAATTTTCCAGTTAGCTTAAGATTTGAATAAAGATCTAACCAAAATCTTGATGGACTTTCCTGGGGAATGAATGGATGGAACTTGGCAAAATGATTCTAAAATTTACCTGGGAAGATAAATTAATGAAAATTGAAGAAGGAACTGCTCAAGGAAACTTTACTGTGTCAGTATAAGCATATTTATGGTGCTGTAGCAGTTAAGACAGTGTAGTGCTAGTGCAAAGAGCTGGACAGACCATTGAGCAGTAAGCCCAGAAGTTGATCTAAGTATTTTTAAGATTTTAATCCATGAAAAGGTAGCTTTTCAGATAAATAGGCGAAAAATGAATTAATAAATACAACTGAGAAGTTGGTTAGTTGCTAATCACTTGAATTAACAGTTAGTACAATCAAGTGATTATATTTATCACTTGCATGAAATTATAGTTCCTTTAATGTCTGTGTAAAAAAGGAGCCTTCAGATGCATAAAATATAAATATTTTTCTGATCTTAAGGTAGAGAAGCCCTTTCTAAGCATAAAAGCAATGAAAAAAAAATTGAGGAAAAGTGATGTAAACCTTATTACGTAATACCAAAAGGCAAATGACAGGCTAGTGGAAAACAGCAAAATATATGACAAATTTATTTCCCCTATCTGTAGAGTGCTCTTACATTTATTCCATTGTGCTCAGTGGTAAATTGGGAAAAGGATATAAATAACTAACGTACAAAAGAAGAAATAAGGACAGCCAGTAAACTACAAAAAAAAAAAAATTCCATCTGGCCCATAACCAAAAAACATGAATCATAACAGCAATGAATGACAACCTTTTTCTTACAAAATCAAATATTTCTGTTAACCTGGTTCTCAACAGTTGGCACTACCTCTATATTTGGTATGTATATAAAGTAATACAACCAATTTGGTTGTATGTACTTAAAAACCTTAAACCAATAATTATACTTCCACAAATTTGTCTTGAAATAATCAGGACTGTGTATACCTATTTATGTTCAAAGATGTTTGCTACCCCCGTTATTTTATAGTAATGACTAACAGAAAATCACCTAAATGTCTACCAGAAAAGGATTGGTTAGATTAATTATGTTATTTATAGAATGGGCTACTATGCAATCATTTAAAGATTTGGAAAAATGTTCACAACATATGAAATGAAAAAGCAACTCACATGTTTGTTGACTATACTTCCAGTTGCTTTAAATAAGCGTGGTTTGGGGTGTGTGTGTGTGTGTGTGTGTGTATGTGTATGTGTATGTATAGACACATTGTGTAGAACAGAAAAAAGACCAGAAGTATATAGATCACATTTTAGCAGTATTCCCTAGGAGTGGGATTATAGGTAATATTTATTTATTTTACATTAAAAAAATATAATTTCCAGAACTTTCACAGTGACCAATTATTACATTTGTTATCAAGAAGGAAACAGCAGGTGTTCTTTTTTAAAAGTCTATTTAAAAAGAGTTGAGGAAATGGAATTCTCTAGCTTGGCTTAAAGAACTGTTTACCTTTCATATGTTTTAATGTTTTCAATCTAAAGATGGGAAAACTGAGATCCAGAGAAAATTCATGTTCACACAGGCAGTAGAAGCTTTCCTAGCTCCCAGCGAGGTCCTTTCTAGTTTTCTGTGCTACCTCTTCAGCAACCAGTTTTTATGTAGTCAGCACAAGTTAATGGAAAATTTTGTTCACAGCTCGAGCTAACCCAAGATACAGGGTTCCATGTCATTTGCTGAATGAAATGGATGCAGCCAACATTGAACTACAAATACAAAGGTAATTTTAAATTACTTTTAGAGTTTGAATAGTTTTTCTGGGGAACAAGTATCTAATTTAGGTCTTAAGTATTCAGTAATGAAAATTAAAGAGGAAAAGAAGTCAACTGTTTAATGCCGGTGTCTTTTTATTAGCTGCTGAATTTTTATACTGAGAGTATCTTTTACTTTGAAATTACCCAGTGAGAGTGAATGAAATAATGACAAATGGCCATCGCTAAGTAGAGATTGAAGCCTAAGAAAACTAGAGAAATCTGTGAGCATGTAGTTGTGCTGAATGAATTGTGTCCTGGCCTGTCGGTTATTCCCTCGGCACAGAGCCCATTGTGAAAATTCACCCTCATGTGTAAGTGGTTTGTGAAGAACTGGCCCGTAGTGACATCAGACCAGAGGTGGGCAAATGGGAGGAAATGTGGAGTCTACAGACTGTTTGGCTTAATGTCAGTCTTGGGCAAAACCCTACAATGGATTATTAAAGGGATGGTTTGTGAGAGCTTGATGATCTGAACATTCTCTTTTGAGGTCTAACCTTGGACCATGAAGAACTGGTTCTTTGCTCTCTGGGTCCGTGGGGTACTGGATTAGGGAAATGGATGTTCCCCTGGTATTCTTGTGGACCCGAGGGGCTGATTACATAGCAGGGATGTGTTCAACATTTTTATCATTGATTTGAAGCTGAGAAAAAAAAATAAATTGAATGGCAAATTAAGATCAGAGGAGATCTCAACAAAAATCAAGACACTAAAAATATAAAAATTTAACAGAGTAAAATATCTTAAGTGCGAAAGATAACCAACTTGCATGAGTGGTGTGGATTAGCAGTTGGTATTAAAAACAAAAACAGCCTATGGGGTTTTAGTCAGCGAGCACTAAGCTTTTTAATGTGGTCATGGAAAAGCTCATGCTGTCTTTGACCACATTCACAGAATTGTGCCTGAGGTACCTGAATGGTGGCTATAGCTTCATCCAACTCTCCGTTGGTGGGGCTGCCTGAAGCGTTTTTGGTGCCGTGCTTCACGGCAGCTGAATGGGTTCAGAAAAGTGTAGCAAGCACCCGGCTGCTGCTGAGGCCATTTGACTTGGAGAGAGCAGACTCCAGGGATCATGAGGCTGACTTCAAATAGTTTATGGGAGAGTCTGGGGGGTCTAGTTGAAGCAAGGAGAAAATAGAAGTTGTAAATCTAGCATTTACCACAGTTATAGGAACGTGTTTCCAGCATTTTGTTCATAATTATAATCTCAGCATTGGACGAGTTCAAGGTCAGTGTTTGTTCAGAGTAACACTGCACAGTGTGCGTTAAAACCGTCTTCCTTGGAATTCACGGTGGCAGAGCTATTAATTGAGAAACTAAACTGAGTTATTTTGGAGCATGGAAGAAAAGGATGTTAATTATAATTACTTAGGTGGAGTGGAGAACTTCTTTATATTGTAAATCAAATATTTTTGGTTTGAGATGAAACAGTATCTGCTGTAAAAACATGGCATTTGTGTATTTTTACGCCTCTTTAAAGGGCAGAGTGTGATTCTACAAACAATAATTTTGAATTGCGTCTCCACCTCGGCCCTCATTATCATTTCTTCAATGGGGCTCTGCACCCAGTAGTCTCTCAAACAGAAAGCATGTGGGATTTGACCTTTGATAAAAGAAAAACTTTAGGAGATCTTCGACAATCAATATTTCAGGTAATTTAGCCTCACTCTTAATAGACATTCAGGTCTGTCTTAAGCTGGATTCTCCTTTTCAAACTCCTGTTTAGGATACAACTATTTATTTTTCACAGCTGCTTAGGAAAATCCTACATCTACCACTTCCATAGAGGGATGGTCCAAATGTTCTCCCCTCACTTGTAAGTCTCTTAGGCTTTTCTGCACAATCGGGGCTCACCGAGTCCTGCCAGCAGGTTTTCGGGGGAGAATCAAGCCTGGTATATTTAATCTTGGGGAGAGAAAGAGTATAAGGTTGTCTCTTTTGGGAAAAATAAATGAAAGAGAATTGTCTTTTAAAAGGAGTAAAAAGATAGATAATTATGTTGCCTAAAACCAAGAGCTACTAAACAAATAAAAGCAACTAACTTTTCTACCTTTCAGTATAGAATAACATTTATTAATAAGATTCCTAAGTGAAGGAAAATGTCTACTGGTCTATAGTAAAAGCAAACATCGTTGTAATCATTGTCTCTAAATTATTTATCCAGTCGTGTTTTAACGACAACAACAGTGCTCTTTATTTTACTTAAAATGTTTTCATATAAATTCTATTGTTTGATTCTTTAACCTCATGAGGGCAAGATAACCCCATTTTAAAGATGAGGAAATTGTGATTTAAAGAGATCTAATGGCTTGCCCAGGGTCAGACATCTAGTTAGCAGTAGAACTAGGACTCCAGCCCTGGTCTCCCTACTCTTTCTTTCCTCTTAATTATACTTCACTCCACACTACTTCCTGATAGAGGAAAAGGGAAATAGAAAATGTAAGCTTCCCCGCCCCCAGAATTAAGTGAATTTTCTGAAAAACTGTATCATTTACCAAAATTATTAGCTTTCTTTTGATTTTCCTCTTGTACAAAGAAAAGCAGGCCAATTTCTTCTTTAACTTTAGTTGATTTGAGTATTTAAATGTTGGATCAGGATCAAGATTTCTAAAATTAATACTTCTGAACTTTTCCACTAAAAGTTTATTTCTGAGCCAATCCTGGCAGTGATGATATAGGTGGACTTGGAGATTTGACCCTGCCTAGGGTAACGTTTCAAGTGGAAAAGAGAGACCTTGGTCACCTTTACAAGGTTTAGATTTCATGCCAGTCTGCTTTTTGATGGTTTAAGTGCACATCTCTGCCAGTGGCAAATCTTAGAATTAAGCCACTGGCAAGAGGCTGAGAGACTGACAGTTAAGTAATCATGTGTAAGTATGAAATTTCTTTCTTTTTTTTTTTTTTTTTTTTTTTGTGGTACGCGGGCCTCTCATCGTTGTGGCCTCTCCCATTGTGGAGCACAGGCTCCAGACGTGCAGGCTCAGCGGCCATGGCTCACGGGCCCAGCCGCTCCGCGGCATGTGGGATCTTCCCGGGCCGGGGCACGAACCCGTGTCCCCTGCATCGGCAGGTGGACTCTCAACCACTGCGCCACCAGGGAAGCCCTGAAATTTCTTTTTAAGAGAACTATCTTGTGATATTGTGGAGAGGGACTAAATAGGACTGACCTTTATTGGTGACATTGTTTTGGTGAGGTTACCACAGTCCCCAGAGTCTTGGAGCTAGAAACTTAAAAAAACAAATCCCTGGTAATCTATTAAATAAACTGGTAATGCTACTTTTTAGACTTACAGTGGGAGACATTCCTTTCAAGAAACAAGAGTATTCGTGTGTGCTGCTCTTCCCTGAACAGTACTGATTGAACACGTCATTTTTGCTCTTTTGGACCAGGATTCCTGGGCTGGCACACTGATCATTTTGCCTTCTGATAAAAGTGATCTTCCCATAAATTAAGTAGAAATGGTTGTTGTTTAGGTGGTCATTGTGCTCTTTGTGTATGTCAGGGTTCTTTAGTCACTAATGGATGTGAGATTAACCATCTTTGGATTTGACTGATTTAACATTGAAAGATGTCTACTTTCCTCATTTTTGGTGCTGGATGGGGATTGTCGTATTCATTTTCTTGTTCCCAGTGTCAGCTACATAAGTAACTTGGCACAGTGCTCTTCTTACTTAACCTGGAAAAGTGATCCATATGTGATTTTTCATTGTTCTCTTTTCTTTCATTCATATTCTGCAGCTGTTAGAATTTTGGGAAGGAGATATGGTTCTTAGTGTTGCAAAGTTTGTACCAGCAGGACTTCATGTTTACCAGACACTTGATGGTAAGAGAAATATTAAAACACAGCAACTTATTGTGTATATGTACATTTTGTGGGGCTCATCTGTACATTTTGTGGGGCTCATCTGAGACTTTCTGCTCTTGGCCAGTCTTTCCCCTACATACTACTTTTCTTAGCTATGCAGGTTCTCATCACATTGGTTTTAACAAATAATATATTTAGTTTTTCATATTTAATAAGACAATTTATTTAGTTTATAATGTATCCAATATATGTAATGTGTGAAATTTTGCTAACACGGAAATGTTTTATATTTTCTGAAATTAAGGCTACTTCTCTACCTAAACAAATTTTTTCTTACAGGCTTTGGAAATTTTTTTATATTACCCCAAACTTCTCAGCAAAATGGTTTGAAACCATTTAAATCCTGTTAAATATGGCTTGTTTTTTTAATCCAATCTCAGCTTCAGACTTTGTAGCAAAACAAAAGTACTTCAGGAGCTTAAAAGTACTTCCTTTAAATAATAACAGAACAATAATAGCAGTAGCAGCAGTAACAGTTGTCTTGGACTTCATGGTGCCAAATACTGAGATAAGTGTTTTGTGTAAATTATCTAATTTGATTTTCACAAACTTCTTTTATCCCCATTTCATAAATGAGAAAACTGAAGGGTAGAGGCTTGAAGTCCACAAGGTCATACAGCTCATTAGTGGGTGAGTGAGGACCGTTTGATGTGTAAGCCTTCCCCATGTTCACAGCGTCAAGTACAGTTGACCTTTTATATTAACTTTTTTTTTCCCTGCTCTCATGCCCACAAATCTTATGGGGGAAATGCTTACATAAAATGAAAACAGAGAAAAAAAAAAAAGGCTAAAGAGCGTGATGGAAGGAATAAAGATAAAAATAATATAAAATAATATCAATATAACAAACATAATTACTCCCTTTTTCTTAGTTTTCCTCAATGAGAATGCTTCTTTTCAAACAAATGTTTGTGTCTTGGCTGTTGCTTTAGTTAAATTTTTTTTTGATGATCATGAGAAGGGTTTCACTGATAATCTCATCTTCCTAGGAGATCACCTGACACTGTGTGAAATTGAAATTGCTGATGGGGAAGACATCTTTGTATGGAATGGAGTGGAGGTAAATAAGTGTTGAAGAAATGTTCACGAGAGTTTTGGATATTTTTTAAGTTGTGATAAAATTTTATTCAGCATATATGACGGCACTTACATATTAGAAAACTGCTGAAATATCCAGTAAATTTTAAGTACAATCAGTGTTAGTTATATGTTCAAGAGATAGTTGTAGAACACCTCCATGGTGCCAGGCTGTGTGTCACAAGCTAGACACAAAGGTAAATAAGTGATCAGTCTGTATCCTTCAGGCACGTAGTGTGGGTCACTGTGCTGAGATAGGTGAGCAGAAGGGTCTGTACAGACTCTTTTTTTTTTGCGGTGCACGGGCCTCTCACTGTTGTGGCCTCTCCCGCTGTGGAGCACAGGCTCCGGATGTGCAGGCTCAGCGGCCATGGCTCACGGGCCCAGCTGCTCCGCGGCATGTGGGATCATCCCGGACCGGGGCACGAACCCGTGTCCCCTGCATCGGCAGGCGGATTCTCAACCACTGCGCCACCAGGGAAGCCCTGTACATACTCTTGATGAGGATTCAGAAGGAGCGGTTCGTCACACTGTTAGGGCTGGAGGCGACTTAGGGGAGCACAGTCAAGAGAGCAGTGAGGAGCATCTCACCCACTCAGTGGACGTCCTCGGTCCACCTCATACATTTACCACTGCTGAGGACACGTGTCTGTCTCCACTTCAGATTTCTCTCCTAAAAAGTAAAAGATGGCTAAGAAAAAGCTTCAGAAATCTAAAGCTGTTCTTCTGATACTTAAAAGACATTTGTGAAAACTTTATTTCACTTGAAAAGAAAAAAAAACGGGAATTGTTCTATAAGAGTCTACGTTACTGCATTACTGTGTTGACCTGATTTTGGCAAATACGAGCTATACTGATGGCTGACTTGATACTGTTGTAGGTTGGCGGAATCCAGATTCCAGCTGGTAGTGACTGTGAACCTCTGCTTTTAAATGTTCTTCATCCGGCGACAAGCAGTGAAGAAGAGCAGTGTCAGCAGTTGATAGACTCTCCATATGTCTTTCCATCTAATGCAGAAATAGGTAGTGTATTCACAGCCTGTGCAATCCCAGACGGAGTCATCTTAGTCAACAGTGCTGAGTCTGTAGGTGAAGAGAGCTGGACCACCATTCCCAAGGAAGACTTGAAGAAGACCTTCAGAGAACAAGGTCTCAGAAATGGAAGCTCAATTTTAATTCAGAATTCTAATGATGGTGACAGGTAACGTGCTAAGAGAATTCCTTTTAAACTTACTGTAGTTACAGTGCCGTATCTTAGAACTCTACAGCTTTATGTTAATAATGATGAGAGTTAAATGTTTCGTTTTATTTCTAGACATTGTGTTCTATATATTGTAAATGGGAATGTTCGTGGTTAGGCAACCTGGAGAAAAATGATATTGTAGTGTGATTTTTTTTTTTTTTTGGTAAATGTGGTAACTGAATAATATAGGTATAGGCTAGATATGGTGTAGATAGTTGGCAGTAAAACAGAATCTTATCAAATAATTCTGATTAGCACTCATTATAAGATGGAGGGCACATTCTCACAGAGAAAGTTCCTAAAATTTTTCATGAGGAAGGTATTATCACAGCTAAATTTGTGTTGTCACAAGGATCTCAGAAGGCAGTTCAGTTTTTTGTTATAATCCTTTTTATGATGCTTGAGATCCTCCCAGCTGGCCAGGTGAGGCAATTACTTGGGGAATTGCAGCCTTGGTTCCTGTAAGTCACATTTGAAGCTCAGGGGTGCTTCCTCTCTTCATTTTTGTTACCCATGTCTGTGCCAGTACACTTCTGTGGTCAGCATTATCATACACTGTAACCCCCCCAATTTCCACACATTGAAGACTTCAGGTTATGACCAATGAATCAGTTCCCTGCTTTATCAGTGCTGTGAATATACGTAGATTACAGAGGCTCTGTATTATTGTTTATTAGTGGCTATGACATAGAGAAGCAGAGCACTTGTGAAGTGTGTTTATTTTGGATTACATGTATCACTCTCTTTTCGACAAGTGTTTTCCAGAAATTTATTTCCCTACCTTGTTTACTTAATTTAAAAGTTTATTATAAATTTCTTTTTAGAAAGTAATATACTTTCATTAGGACTTGGGAAATACAGAGGTGAAGACAGGAGACCCAAAACAGCATCACCATACCACTCATGCAGTGTCTGTCACTGTTAGCTTTCTGAGCTCGAATAATTGGGATTTTCTTTCGAAGGGTTTTTTCTTATTAATTTATTATTTTATATATATATTTTTTGGCTGCATTGCATCTTCGTTGCTGCGCGCGGGCTTTCTCTAGTTACAGTGAGCGGGGGCTACTCCTCGTTGCGGTGCGCGGGCTTCTCATTGCAGTGGCTTCTCTTGTTGCAGAGCACGGGCTCTAGGCGTGCGGGCTTCAGTAGTTGTGGTGCATGGGCTTATTAGTTCCTCCGCAGCATGTGGGATCTTCCCGGACCAGGGCTTGAACCCATGTCCCCTTCATTGGCAGGCGGGGAAGTCCGGTTTTTTCCTTTTTAAACATAATACTGATGATATTGTAGATAAATAGTTATATCCTGCTTTCCCCTCATGTTTTTGTTTTGTTTTGTTTTGTTTGCGGTACGTGGGCCTCTCACTGTTGTGGCCTCTTCCGTTGCAGTGCACAGGCTCCAGACGCGCAGGCTCAGTGGCCATGGCCCACGGGCCCAGCCGCTCCGCGGCATGTGGGATCTTCCCAGACCGGGGCACAAACCCGTGTCCCCTGCATCGGCAGGCGGACTCTCAACCACTGCGCCACCAGGGAAGCCCTCCCCTCATGTTTGAAGGCTCTTCATAAACCTCATTTCATGGCTGCATAATAACCTATGTTGATGTTATAGGTTACCTGACTGCTCCTGTGTGAGGAGTGGGTAGAGACAAGGCCTTGGGGGCTGGCTGCCTGGCTTTGTTTCCAGCTTTATCATTTACTAGTAGTGTGACCGTGGGCAAGTTACATCATCTCTCTCTGCTTAATTTCTTCTTCTGTAAAATGAGCATAATAATTAGTACCAGCTTCATACAGTGCTACGGATTGAAGAAGTTAAGAGCTTACAAGTGTTTACACATAGTAAGTGCTAGATAGTTTAGCTAGCATCCTTGTTATCATCCAGTTTTTCATTATTTTAAGGTGGTCTTCAGGGAACACCTTTGTGCTTAAAACTTTGCTCTATTTAAGATTGCTAACTCAAGGTGGAGTCCCAGAGTGGAATAACTGAAATGAAGAGTAGAATTGTGTTTTGGGGCTCTGCTACACACTCCCAAAGAGGACTTCCGCTAGCCCACTCAGTGCCTCTGTGTGAATTAGTAAGAAGTCACTCCTTCCTCAAGAACCTTTACTATTATCTGCAGGAAAACCTTGTTAGAACAAGACACTCCACTGCCATCTGCTATCATAAAATTTTTTAAAACCTCTATAATAAAAATATAAACATACAGTGTATATGATGTGAATGATATCCATTAGATGTGGTACTTCTTTTCTTTTTTGCGGTGCGTGGCCCTCTCACTGCTGTGGCCTCTCCCGTTGCGGAGCACAGGCTCCGGACACGCAGGCTCAGCGGCCATGGCTCACGGGCCCAGCCGCTCCGCGGCATGTGGGATCTTCCCGGACTAGGGCACGAACCCGCGTCCCCTGCATCAGCAGGCGGACTCTCAACCACTGCGCCACCAGGGAAGTCCAGATGTGGTACTTTTATTCAACGTCAGTCTGCACGGCTGTGCATGCTGTCCTGCTTTTAAACTACTAAAGTCTGTGGGTGGGCTTTTGGCGTAGGTACCCTTTTAAAGCTCCACTGGTGATTGCAGCGTGCAGGTAGACGTTAACAACTGATTGTTCAATTACAACAGTTCTCTTTGAAAAATGTGGCAACAAATTATTTGTATAAATCAAAGAATATTTGGAATCATGAATATAGACTCCGTGGAATACTATCTTAACACTACCCTAAAAAGATAGTGAACTTTCAGAAACCCAACTCAGTAGAACTTGGTCCCTTTAATGAGTCACATTAAGTGACACATGCAGAATTTTGGAAGTGGTGCCTAAAGAAAAGCATGAATTTTCCAATCCTCTCTGATCCATAAAAGAGCTGTATAAAGACACATTTTTAAAATGTCTTTTTACCCTACAGTTTGTTGACCAAACGAGGGAAGTGGATCACCAGTGTGAATGAGGTTGACTGGCTCCAAGTTAAAAATTTATGCCAATTAGACTCTGGAGAAGAACAAGTTAAAATATCAGCAACTGTTAACACAGTGAGTAGATATTGATTGAAGTGTGCTTGACAGCTTTTCATTAATACAGTGTTACTTAGAAAGCAGTACCTTAATCTTTCAGAACAGGTGTCTCAGTAAACTTCTAAATCTTAAGAAATCACCTTTTTATTTGTAACATTTGATTATTGCTTATTTACCTTTGTTAGCCCTTGGCATATTTCAAGAAAATATATGCCTTTTTTTCCCTCCAAAGCCTAGAATTAGAATGTGGGAGTTACCTTTTTAATTAGTTCATGGAATCTTCTGAATTTGATAACTGTGAAATGCTATTTTCAAGAGCCTTTTCTGTATTTTTAAAACAAGGTATATATGTTTTGGTTTTGTGTTCTTTGGTGTTTGGGTTTTTTAAAGTTTATCTTAAATTGCTCTACAGTATACTCTGTGCTCTGTATAAAGCCAGTTGCTCTTCAAAGGGAGTTTTTTCAGTTTTCCATTTAAGACTATTATACTGGTTTCCTTAAACATTATTTCAGGAAACATCTTTTTATATTTATGTAGTCTCCATTTATTAAGTTTTTCTGTAACTTTATTTTAAAAATTTAGAGTGTTTTATATAAAATTATAGTTTCTTAAGGTTTGTTTGCACATTAGTGGGAACAGTATAAGGTCAATGCCCCAAAGCTCAGGAGACCTACCACCCTGACCCCAAATGGGAGGCCGGTGCAGTCCTTGATTACTGCAGGCTCTGTTCCTTCTTGGCACAGTGGGGGGCATAGCGGGGGTTACCGGTGGGGAAGTAGAGTCAATGATCTCTGTCGTCAGCTTTACCCCTAAATTTCCACGATTTTATGCCCTAGAGGCAATTAGCCTAAATTTTAAAAAAGAAAAGAAAACACAATCTAAAATAATCTAAGTAGAAATTTTAAATAGTACCCTTGGATTAGTACATTTTTATATTATTAATGCTTATTAATTATTAGTACAGTTTTATATTATTAATGAAGATGTGGGATCTTCCCAGACCAGGGATTGAACCCGTGTCCCCTGCACTGGCCCTGAATTCATCATTCTTAACATAAAGAAACGTATAGTTTCTTTTGTTTGCTATCATCAGAAAAGTTAACTGTCAACTTTTGCCTTTCGCTACTATTAAGTCTTTGGTTTTCTAAAGTTTTCTGTAGGCGGCCTTTCCATTCCAATTATTATCAATTTGGTGAAAACTTAACCAAGATCTAAGTTTTTGCCTTTGACTTTGTAGAAGAGAGAAAATAATTTCAGAGATGGAAAAATAATTTTTTTCAAGTAGGCAAAAACTGCTAAATGTAAGGTAATTAATAACTCAACCTGTATATGCACACACTGACAATCTTCATTTTCCTCTCCTCCCATTGCTTTTAACTTATACACAGTCATTAGTTTATTTCTCTATTTTAGGTGGTGTTTGATATTCGAATTAAAGCCATAAAGGAATTAAAATTAATGAAGGAACTAGGTAATCATTTATGTTTGCTTTTGGTTTTTTGGTTTAATTTAGTTTTGTTTTGATTTTTAATTGAAAAAAATATGGGAGAGTACAAAAAATAATTTAGGGAAAACTCACGTATCTACCACCCAAAATGGACAAATGTTAACATCTTGCCATGTGTTTGTTTTTGCCTCAAACATTACAAATAAAGTCCTCTATGTTCTCCTCCTCAGACCTATCATCCCTCCCCAGATGCAACCAGTATATCTGATTTGGGTGTGTATCTAGTTCGTGCATTCACATTGCACTATATATATTATACCTCTCTCTGTATATGTGTGTGTGTATATTGTATTTTTACATTTATGTAAATTCTATCTTAATGAATATAACATTCTACAAACTCACTATTCACTCGGCATTAAGTTTTCTTTTACAGCTTTATTGAGGTATAATTTACATGTCATAAAACATCCATTTTAAGCGTAATTCAGTGATTATTAGTAAATGTATAAAGTCGTACAACCATCACAGCAATCCAGTTTTAGAACAGTTTCATCACTCTAAAAAGATCTCGTTCCCATTTGCATAGCAAGCCCCTGACAGCCATTCATCTACTTTCTGTTTCTTTTGACTTGCTTTTCTGGACATTTCATGTAAATGAAAGCATGTTATATGTAGTCTTTTGTGTCTGGCTTCTTTCACTCAGCATATCATTTTTGAGATTCATCCATGATTTAGCATGTTTCAATAGTTTGTTCCTTTTTATTGCTGACTGGATAAAAAGGAATATATTGTATGGATTGTATGGATATATCACATTTTGTTTGTTCATTACCAGTTGATGGACATTTGGATTGTTTCCACTTTGGGTCTTTTATGACTGATTCTGCTATAAACATTATGTCTTCGTATAGACCTGTGTTTTCAGTTCTCGGAATTGCTGGGTCATATGGCAAAGTTATGTTTAACTTTATAAGGGACTGCCGTACTATTTCCAAAGTGGCTGAATCATTTACACACCCACTGACAATGTATCAGGGTTGCAGTTTCTTCACATCCTTGCCAATATTTATAATTGTCTTTTTTTTTTAATTTTATTTATTTATTTTGTTTATTTTTGGCTGTGTTGGGTCTTCATTGCTCCGCACAGGCTTTCTCTAGTTGCGGCGAGTGCGGGCTTCTCACTACGGTGGCTTCTCTTATTGTGGAGCATGGGCTCTAGGCGTGCGGACTTCAGTAGTTGTGGCACATGGGCTCAGTAGTTGTCGCTCGGAGGCTCTAGAGCACAGGCTCAGTAGTTGTGGCGCATGGGCTTAGTTGCTCCATGGCATGTGGGATCTTCCTGGACCAGGGCTCGAACCTGTGTCCCATGCATTGGCAGGTGGATTCTTAACCACTGTGCCACCAGGGAAGTCCTATAATTGTCTTTTTGATTGTAGCCATTTTAGTGACCGTGAATTGGTATCTCCTGTGTTTAATTGCATTTTCCTGATGCAGTGATGGTGAGCACTGTTGATGTGCTTATCATCTATTTGTATACTCTAAGGATCCTATTAAAACTACCAGAATTAATAAGTGAGTTTAACAAGAACTCAAAATCAATATAGAAAAATCCATATATGTTTACTAGCAACAAAAAAGTGGAAAATTAAATTAAGAAAACATTTATAATAGCATAAACTATCATGAAATACTTGGGGGTAAATTTAACAAGATATGTGGAAGACCTGTACACCAGAAACTAGAAAAGATTGCCATGAAAAATAAAAGAAGACCCAAATAAATTAAATGATGTACCATATTCTTGGATCAGAAGACACAGTACTATTAAGAGGCTAATTCTCTCAAAATTTATTTGTACATTCAGTGCATTCTCACTCAAAATTCTGGCAGGTTTCTTTTTTTTTGGTAGTAATTGACAAACTGATTCTGAAATTTATGTGGAAATGCAAAGAACCTAAAGTATCCATAACAATTTTAGGGGAAATAAAGAACAAAGTTGGAAGAGTTACACCATCTGATTTCAAGACTTACTCTGAAACTGTAGAAATCAAGACAGTGTGTGTAGTCATGAGGGTAGACATATGGAGCAGAGTTCAGCATGTGTGGCCTACAACCTGCTTCTGCACAGCCAGTGAGCTAAGAATAGGTTTTACATTTTTTAAGGGCTCTTTTAAGAAGAATGTGCAACAGAGATCGTATGTGGAAATGTTCCAGAGTATTTGCAACAGAACTACATTGAAAAGCCAGAAATAGATGCAAACATATTTAGTCAGTTGACTTTCAGCAGAAGTGCCAAGGTATTTCCATGGGGAAGGATGCTCTTTCAGCATTCAGTGCTGGACCAATTGGATATCAATAGATGCAAAAATGAACCTCCAACTTTGCCTTACGTCATGTAAAAAATGAACTCAAAATGGATCATAGAACTTCCCTGGTGGCGCAGTGGTTAAGAATCCGTCTGCCAATGCAGTGAACGTGGGTTCAACCCCTGGTCCGGGAAGATCCCACATGCCGCAGAGCAACTAAGCCCATGCACCACAGCTACTAAGCCTGCGCTCTAGATCCCATGCTCCACAACAAGAGAAGCCACTGCAATGAGAAGCCCGCGTGCTGCAATGAACAGTAACCCCCGCTTGCCACAACTAGAGAAAGCCCGTGCGCAGCAACGAAGACCCAACACAGCCAAAAATAAATTAAAAAAAAGGATCATAGACTTCAATGTTAAAACCTAAAACTATAAAACTTCTGGGGGAAAACATAGAAAATCTCTGTTATTTTTACCATAAGGAAGAGATTTTTTTTAAAGATAGGACTTAGAAAGTACAAACCATGAAAGTAAAAGCAAATTGGACTACTACAAAATTTTAAAGGCATTTGAAAAGGCAGGCCACAAACTGAGAGAAAAAATTTATAACACATGTATTTGACAATAGACTTGCATCCAGGATATATAAAAAATACTTATAACCTAATCAGAAGACAACCCAAATTGGGAAGCCACTTTACAAAAGAAAATCTACCTATGAACACCCAATAAGCACAGGAGAAGATGCTCAGTATCATTAGCCAACAAACTAAAACCGTAATGACACATCACTGCACGCTTAGTGGAATGATTAAAATTTTAGATGCTGACAAGACTAAGTGATACCAAAGATGTGGAGCACCTGGCACTCCCGCGTATTGCTGGTGGGAGTGTAAAATGGTACAGTCACTCTGGTAAGGAGTTAGCTTATTTCCTGTGAATTTAAACATTCACTTATCAATTCTCCTGGATTTTTATCCAAGAAAAATTAAAACATGTATCTTTACAAATACTGTATGTAAATGTTCATAACCAAAAATGGGAAACAATTCAAATACCAGTGAGCAGGTGAACAAATTGTGGTGTATCCATACAATGGGATACTATTCATCAATAAAAGAAGTAAACTGCCACCCCACGCAAAACATGGATGAATCTCAAAGACATCATGCCAAGCAAAAGAAGCTAGTCACAAGAGTAATGCTCTTAGGATTCCATTTATCGATCTGAAATTGTCAAAAAAGAAAACCTAAGCTGTAGTTACAGAGGCAGATCAGAATTAGGGGATGAGGGATTGACTACGGAGTGGCATGAGGGAATTTGGGGGGAGACGTAAATTATATCTCAATTTGCTGATGGTTACTGAGTGTTTTCATCGACCTCTTTTAACTGTGTGCTTAAACTGGATGTGTTTTATTATAAGTAAATTATACTTCAGTAAAGTTACTTAAGAATATATGGTTTATGCGGGCTTCCCTGGTGGCGCAGTGGTTGAGAGTCCGCCTGCCAATTCGGGGGACGTGGGTTTGTGCCCCAGTCCGGGAGGATCTCACGTGCCACGGAGCGGCTGGGCCTGTGAGCCATGGCCGCTGGGCCTGCACGTCCGGAGCCTGTGCTCCACAGCAGGAGAGGCTGCAGCAGTGAGAGGCCCGCGTACTGCAAAAAAAAAAAAAAAAAGAATATATGGTTTATTAAAATTAATAGTTTGTTGTCTTGCCATGTCACAGATCTCCTTTCTTCCACTCCTTCTTCCCTCCAAACTATTCTTTACCTAGCAAGTGATCTTCTTAAACGTAGGTGAGTCAGATCACGTCACCCTCTGCTGAAAGCCCTGTTGGGCTCTTTGTACTCGGTAGTGTATTGCCTGCGGGCTCCTGGCCTACAGGAACCTGCTTCGTCTGACCACTGCCTAACTGACCTCCTTGCAGTCCACTCACCTGCTTATTCACAGCGTACTTCCCATGCTGACTTTGTGGAATTTCTGGTCACAGGCTCTTTTCCACTCCCGAGACTTCTTTTTTTCTTTTTTAAAGCAGAGGGAGGTTTTTTGTTTTTTTGTTTTTACATATTTATTTTTGGCTGTGTTGGGTCTTTGTTTCTGCGCGTGGGCTTTCTCTAGTTGTGGAGAGCGGGGGCTGCTCTTCACTGTGGTGGCTTCTCTTGTTATGGAGCTTGGGCTTTAGGCGCACAGGCTTCAGTAGTTGTGGCTCCCGGGCTCTAGAGCGCAGCGTCTGTAGCTGTGGCGCACGGGCTTAGTTCCTCCGCAGCCTGTGGGATCTTCCCGGACCAGGGATCAAACGCATGTCCCCTGCATCGGCAGGTGGATTCTTAACCACTGCACCACCAGGGAAGCCCCCCTGCGACTTCTTAGTCCTGTAATCTTTTTTGAACTCTGTTCCCTTTACTCTTCATCTGCTAACTTCAGTCACTCATTTGGTCTCAGCTGAAATGTTATTTCCGTCATCCCTGGCTACACAATCTCAGTTAATCTGTCTCTCGTACTCTAACGCCCTGTCCTTCCCTTCGTAGCACTTACACTGTAACTACCTGTGTTTTGTGTTATGAATGTCCACCTCCCCCATTAGATGAGGCTCTTTGCGGGCAGAGTCCATGGCTGTTTTTCTTATTGTCAGCTTCTAGGACAGTGCCTGGCACATAGAAGATACATGGTGTGTGTTGAATGAAAGTGAGAATTTTTTTAAAAAACAGTATTTTAAATTAACATTTTTTAAATTGGAGAACTCTTTTACATAAGCTGTTTCAGTTGTCAAGGAGTTTGTATTAGAATTCTATGCTGGCTTCACATTACTGTAGTATAAGGGCTAGAACTCAGGAATCTCAAAGAGATTCTGTTCTGTTCAGATAAAGATAGAACTTCTAAGGCCCATGGCATTCCTGCCCTCTCAGAAGCCTCCACCCCTTTGAATTCCCCCACCTCATATGCAACTTGGTAAGAATTGTTTGGAATTAAAACCTAATATACTTCTTCCCACAAAGCAGGAGTCTTTGCATCCTCAAAAACAGGGCATACTGGCCCTAATCCATTTACTAATAACTAAGCATAAAAATCACCTAACTTATTTTAAATCTAGGCAGAGTCTGTGCAGTTCTAATACACATGAATTTCAGTTGCCACCGTTCATCACCGTTACCCAGCAGCATGGTTCAGATTTCAGCTGCCACTGGATATTAACTGAGTAATTGCATAAAGTACAAACTTTGCTACTAGCTCTTTAGTCTACAGATCACTGTGAAATAACATGTACATCATGGTCAGTGGCCAGTTACTTCACTCTTTAAAGCCTGTCAGTGATTGGTCAGTGCATAGCTGCTATTAATTTCACCACGTAGACAGCAAAGTGTGTAGTTTATTGCCTCCTTTTCTCCCAGTGGTAAACTCAGGTAACATTTTACAAGAATGGATAATTGAAGTAGCCAACAATGGTGAAAGTGCAGGAGAGAAACAAAAGTGTATGGGACTTCCCTTGTGGCACAGTGGTTAAGAATTTGCCTGCCAATGCAGGGGACACAGGTTCGAGCCCTGGTCCGGGAAGATCCCACATGCCGCAGAGCAACTAAGCCCGTGCGCCACAACTACTGAGCCTGCACTCTAGAGCCCAAGAGCCACAACTACTGAAGCCCATGCGCCTAGAGCCCGTGCTCCGCAACAAGAGAAGCCACTGCAATGAGAAGCCCACACACCACAACGAAGAGCAGCCCCCGCTCACTGCAACTGGAGAAAGTCGCACGCAGCCACAAAAGGCCCAACACAGCCAAAAAATAAATAAATAAATAAATATATTAAAAAAAGAGAGAGAGAGAAACAAAAGTATATGGAGCTGTAGAAGAAATAGCTGGCTGTGGGAATGCTGGCACTGCTGTCATTTGAGAGAATCCAGATGTGCAGCCAGAGGAACTTAACATAAACTCACAGGAGTGAGGAAAGTGGTTGTGATGAAAAGTATATGAAGATATCCCAGAGGAGTTGACGCTGGCAGAAAAACTTCATATTACAGGAGCTCTTGGAGATATTTCATGAAACTGAAAGTACAAAACAAAATACTGGAAGCTGTTCCAAACTTAGATTATCATTAGGGGCTAGAGAAGATGTTCACCCTGTACTGCAAGCTCTACGAGACAAAAGCAATCCCTGTTTAAACTATTCTTGTGTTTTTTACAAAGAAAACATTTTAATTCTCAGTGTAGTGTTTTCTTTTTTTAATCTATTATTTTTGTCTGTGTTGGGTCTCTGTTGCTGCGCGCGGGCTTTCTCTAGTTGTGGCGAGTGGAGGCTGCTCTTCGTTGCGGTGCATGGGCTTCTCACTGCGGTGGCATCTCTTGTTGCGGAGCACGGGATCTAGGCACATGGGCTTCAGTAGTTGCAGCATGTGGGCTCAGTAGTTGTGGCTCGCGGGCCCTAAAGCGCAGGCTCAGTAGTTGTGACGCCCGGGCTTAGTTGCTCCACGGCATGTGGGATCTTCCCGGACCAGGGCTCAAACCCGTGTCCCCTGCATTGGCAGTCGGATTCTTAACTTCTGCGCCACCAGGGAAGCCCTCTGTAGTGTTTTAAATTACAGTGTAAATATTAGTTTGCTGTTTTTTTATTTCACTGTACATGTATAACTGACAGAGTTTTTAATGTTTTGACAAAAAAATTTAAAGGTTATGGTACAATCATAATTTTTTTTTAAGATTTCTGTGCACAGTTTCAACTTGCACAGGTGTTCTTAGGGTCCTGCACTGCTGTGCAAAGGGAAGACTGCCTGTACGTGTTTTTTTGTTGTTGGGTTGTTTTGCTTGTTTTTTTGTTTTTTTAGCTTCCTGCTAATTAACACAGTATAGCATCTCTCTTTGATTTTCTTTGTTTGCTGCACTAACCAGCATCTTTTTATTTATAGCCGAGGACAGCTGTTTGAGGCCTATTGATAGAAACGGGAAGCTTCTTTGTCCAGGTAAATCTTTTTGGTAGCCTTCAAAAGCTGGCACCTACTCATGCCACCTATCTTTCTCAACACTTTTACCTTAAACAGTGACTTCCAATACCTAATATTCTTAAGTTACCTTTTAGAAACTGGTTTATAGAACAGACTTTCACCCAGGTGTCTTCCTTGTGAATTACAGACAGTCCTAACCAAAAATCAAACACTTCTGTTTTCTAAAGGAAGACACCTGTCTTTCTGATTAGCTGACATGCATTTTAGTCATGGTTTTGCCCTAGTTGTATCTTTCTAGATTTATTTTCAAAGTTTTTTATTTGTTTTGCTGATTTCATCGTGATACCAGTTATCACAGTAACCAGAGCCTTGGTTCTTACCTCTGTAACACATCTTGTCATTAGACTTAATTTACTCTTTTGATGGTAGTCACCATAGCAGCTTTAAACTTGGAAGAAGCTAGTCCATCATGCATGAATCAATTCAGAATATTACATAATCCACGCAGACAACAGCTCTCTTTTGTTAAGTATGAATCTAGAACATTCATAGCTGCCTGTTATTTCTTAGCATTGCTGTACAGATAACAAGAGTATACGTCCTAGAGTGAGAAAATCTAAGATCAAACATAACTGTGTATAATCCTTTTGCATGGAGTATAACTTAGTTTTTTTCTTTCTTAACAGTCTTGATTTACAAAGAAAGGCTGATTTCAGTGTAGTAGTTTGCCCAAAGGTAGGAATTAATAACATTTACCATGTTATCAAAATTCTTTTTAGTGCCAGACAATTATACTTTGAAGGAAGCAGAATTGAAGATGGGGAGTTCATTGGGACTGTGTCCTGGAAAAGCACCAACTTCTTCTCAGGTAAAAGGAGATCACCTGACAGACCCAAACCAACCTTACCATGATTAGAAGTTCTTAATTGTATGATTCATTCCTTAACTACTGCAGTAATACTGTTTTTCTTAAAATTTTTCTTTTCCTTAAATGATACCTTTTATTTAGGAATACATCCATGTAGTTCTCTGTGTTTAAGTCAAAAATACTATGTCAAAGTATATTCATAAGGTTGTTTTTCTGTGAAAATTTTGTGGTTAAGGGAGATCTTTAAAGTTGAGTGGCCACCAGTTTCAACCACCATAATTCATAAATTCTAAAATGTACACTTGTTCTCCTATATTTTAACATCTGTGAGATTAAGATGCATCTTACAGTCGGTGGCATCCTGCACTGGAGCTGATGCTATGCTTCCTTTCTTAGTAGTGCATAAAATAATAAGTAACAACTGGCAGCATTTTAGATTTAATGAAATACAGTGTACTGATTTTGAACTTAATTACTCCCTGCAATAATATAATAGACTCACAGCAGATTTTTCTTTATCGGTATACATTTTATTTACAGAATACTATCAGGTTGACCTTTGCCTAGAACCCTACCTACTTAATAAACTTTCATTACAGTCCAAAAGCCATAATGAAGTCCTTACTGTTAAGACTCTGTATCATGATAAGCTAAACTCATATCAGGATCCCCATGGCTCCTAGATCCCTGATATGGAACTAATCCACTTCATTAGTTTTCCCAACTACCTCCCCTTTAATTTGTCCTTCCCCAAACTCTAACAAATAGTAGTGCATGACAAGATCATAGGAGAAAAAACATGACAAGTGCGGTTGAGTTAGAAAGGAAAAATAGGGCTGTAAAGAACTGAATTGACGAGATCAGATTTACATTTTTCCTGTGGGTTCCAGGGAGTTAAAGTATATGGGACCTCTGGACAGAAAATAAGATCACAAACTAATGACTCAGAAAAAACACAGTTAATGCTTATAGTGTATAGTAATTGCAAATCTCTTTGAGGAATGACTGAGAGAGAGATGGAGATCATACTAGAATAAATAATGTCTGTGAGAGATGTTTCTTAGGAGTAAAAACATTGGTGATAAAGAATCTTACATTTCTAGGTAGTCAAGATTATTGTTTAAATTGTAACTTTAAAATACCCAACGTAGACTTGTTTTTACATAATCTGATTTTTTTTTTTTTTTTTTTTTTTTTTGTTTTACGCGGGCCTCTCATTTTTGTGGCCTCTCCCGTTGCGGAGCACAGGCTCCGGACGCACAGGCTCAGCGGCCATGGCTCACGGGCCCAGCCGCTTCGCAGCATGTGGGATCTTCCCGGACCGGGGCGCGAACCCGTGTCCGCTGCATCAGCAGGCGGACTGTCACCCACTGCGCCACCAGGGAAGCCCCCATAATTTGAGATTTTTATTAAAGTTTTATGACCATTGGCTTTCCGGTTTTGAAAATAAATAATATATTTATAGAATTTTGAAATTCAAATTAAATAGCATTTATAACTCTATCTTGATCTTAGCTGTTCCTGTTTTTCGCTGTGGGGAGCGATGTTCAGCCTGGGACAGAGATGGAGATCATAGTAGAAGAAACAATATCTGTGAGAGATGTAAGGAATTTTACTTTGGATGGCTGGGGTCTGTGGGTGTTTGGTATGGGGAGCAGTGGGAACCTGTGTTAGGATTTTGAGATCCTATGGGTAGGGTTTACATAATATGCATTAAAGAATTCTATGTATTCAATAAAAGAATAGTTTGGATTGCTTGAAAGGTGGTGAGCCAGCTGTAGTTTTAAAAATAAGATTATTCTTTTTTCTTGTCTGACTACTAATAATGCATGTTTATTGTAGAAATTTGGGATATATAAAAATGGGTTAAACAAAAAGAATTAAAACCCCTCATTATCCCTTATCCCACTAATGTTAACATTTTGGCATATTTCCTTCTGCTGTTTCTACATTATGTGTACACACATCTCACACACACAGGTGTGAATGTGTGTGTGTGATAAAGCAAACAATTAGGTTAATGTCACTGAGAACGGGGACTTTCAGTCTTGGAAAATGGAGAGGCAGATAACATCAGTGTGGTTAAAGAAAGCCTGTACTCCTGAATTTGTTTTTAGGTTTGTTTTAAATATTTGTTTGCTTGTTTATTTACTTATTTATTTATTTTGGCTGCACCATGTGGGAATGTCCGTTGCGGCATGCATGATCTTTAGTTGTGGTGTGTGGACTTCGTTTTTTAATATTTATTTATTTGTTTGTTTATAATTTAAATTTTTTAAATTTAATTTTATTTTTTTATACAGCAGGTTCTTATTAGTTATCCATTTTATACATATTAATATATACATGTCAATCCCAATCTCCCAATTCATCCCACCACCACCACCCCCTGCCCCGCTGCTTTCCGCCCTTGGTGTCCATATGTTTGTTTTCTACATCTGTGTCTATATTTCTGCCCTGCAAACTGGTTCATCTGTACCATTTTTCTAGGTTCCACAGGTATGCATTAATATGCACTATTTGTTTTTCTCTTTCTGACTTATTTCACTCTGTATGACAGTCTCTAGATTCATCCATGTCTACAAATGACCCAATTTCCTTCCTTTTTATGGCTGAGTAATATTCCATTGTATATATGTACCACATCTTCTTTATCCATTCATCTGTCGATGGGCATTTAGGTTGCTTCCATGACCTGGCTATGGTAAATAGTGCTGCAGTGAACGTTGGGGTGCATGTGTCTTTTTGAATTATGGTTTTCTCTGGGTATATGCCCAGTAGTGGGTTGCCCATTCTAACTGGTGTGAGGTGATACCTCATGGTAGTTTTGATTTGCATTTCTCTAATAATTAGTGATGTTGAGCAGCCTTTCATGTGCTTCTTGGCCATCTGTATGTCTTCTTTGGAGAAATGTCTATTTGGGTCTTCTGCCCATTTTTGGATTGGGTTGTATGTTTTTTAATATCGAGCTGCATGAGCTGTTTATATATTTTGGAGATTAATCCTTTGTCCGTTGATTCATTTGCAAATATTTTCTCCCATTCTGAGGGTTGTCTTTTTGTCTTGTTTGTAGTTTCCTTTGCTGTGCAAAAGCATTTAAGTTTCATTAGGTCCCATTTGTTTATTTTTGTTTTTATTTCCATTACTCTAGGAAGTGGATCAAAAAAGATCTTGCTGTGATTCATATCAAAGAGTGTTCTTCCTATGTTTTCCTCTAAGAGTTTTATAGTGTCTGGTCTTACATTTAGGTCTCTAATCCATTTTGAGTTTATTTTTGTGTATGGTGTTAGGGAGTGTTCTAATTTCATTCTTTTACATGTAGCTGTCCAGTTTTCCCAGCACCACTTATTGAAGAGACCCTCTTTTCTCCATTGTATATCCTTGCGTCCTTTGTCATAGATTACTTGACCATAGGTGTGTGGGTTTATGTGTGGGCTTTCTATCCTGTTGCATTGATCTGTATTTCTGTTTTTGTGCCAGTGTCTTGATTACTGTAGCTTTGTAGTATAGTCTGAAGTCAGGGAGTCTGATTCCTCCAGCTCCGTTGTTTTCCCTCAAGACTGCTTTGGCTATTCGGGGTCTTTTGTGTCTCCATATAAATTTTAAGGTTTTTGTTCTAGTTCTGAAAAAAATGCCATTGGTAATTTGATAGGGATTGCATTGAATCTGTAGATTGATTTGGGTAGTATAGTCATTTTCACAATATTGATTCTTCCAATCCAAGAACATGGTATATCTCTCCATCTGTTTGTATCATCTTTAATTTCTTCCATCAGTGTCTTGTAGTTTTCTGCATACAGGTCTTTTGTCTCCCTCGGTAGGTTTATTCCTAGGTATTTTATTCTTTTTGTTGCAATGGCAAATGGGAGGGTTCCCTTAATTTCTCTTTCAGATTTTTCATCATTAGTGTATAGGAATGCAAGAGATTTCTGTGCATTAATTTTGTATCCTGCAGTTTTACCAGATTCATTGATTCGCTCTAGTAGTTTTCTGGTGGCATCTTTAGGATTCTCTATGTATAGTATCATGTCATCTGCAAACAGTGACAGTTTTAATTCTTTGCCAATTTGTATTCCTTTTATTTCTTTTTCTCCTCTGATTGCTGCGGCTATGACTTCCAAAACTATGTTGAATAATAGTGGTGAGAGTGGACATCCTTGTCTTGTTCCTGATCTTAGAGGAAATGCTTTCAGTTTTTCACCATTAAGAATGATGTTTGCTGTGGGTTTGTCATATATGGCCTTTATTATGTTGAGGTAGGTTCCCTCTATGCCCACTTTCTGGAGAGTTTTTATCATAAATGTGTGTTGAATTTTGTCAAAAGCTTTTTCTGCATCTGTTGAGATGATCATATGGTTTTTATCCTGCAGTTTGTTAATATGATGTATCACGTTGATTGATTGGCGTATACTGAAGAATCCTTGCGTCCCTGGGATAAATCCCACTTGATCATGGTGTATGATCCTTTTAATGTGTTGTTGGATTCTGTTTGCTAGTATTTTGTTGAGGATTTTTGCATCTCTGTTCATCAGTGATATTGATCTGTAATTTTCTTTTTTAGTAGCATCTTTGTCTGGTTTTGGTATCAGGGTGATGGTGGCCTCATAGAATGAGTTTGGGAGTGTTCTTTCCTCTGCAATTTTTTGGAAGAGTTTGAGAAGGGTGGATGTTAGCTCTTCTCTAAATATTTGATAGAATTCACCTGTGAAGTCATCTGGTCCTGGACTTTTGTTTGTTGGAAGATTTTTAATCACAGTTTCAATTTCATTACTTGTGATTGGTCTGTTCCTGTTTCTTCCTGGTTCAGTCTTGGAAGGTTATACCTTTCTAAGAATTTGTCCATTTCTTCCAGGTTGTCCATTTTATTGGCATAGAGTTGCTTGTAGTAGTCTCTTAGGATGCTTTGTATTTCTGCAGTGTTTGTTGTAACTTCTCCTTTTTCATTTCTAATTTTATTGATTTGAGTCCTCTCCCTCCTTGATGAGTTTGGCTAATGGTTTATCAATTTTGTTTATCTTCTCAAAGAACCAGCTTTTAGTTTTATTGATCTTTGCTACTGTTTTCTTTGTTTCTGTTTCATTTGTTTCTGCTCTGATCTTTATGATTTCGTTCCTTTTGCTAACTTTGGGTTTTGTTTGCTCTTCTTTCTCTAGTTCTTTTAGGTGTAAGCTTAGATTGTTTATTTGAGATTTTTCTTGTTTCTTGAGGTAGGCTTGCATTGCTATAAACTTCCCTCTTAGAACTGCTTTTGCTGCATCCCATAGGTTTTGGATTGTCGTGTATCATTGTCATTTGTCTCTAGGTATTTTTTGATTTCCTCTTTGATTTCTTCAGTGATCTCTTGGTTATTTAGTAACGTATTGTTTAGCCTCCACGTGTTTGTGTTATTTACGGTTTTTTCCCTGTAATTGATTTCTAATCTCATAGTGTTGTGGTCAGAAAAGATGCTTGATGTGATTTCAGTTTTCTTAAATTTACTGAGACTTGATTTGTGACCCAAGATGTGATCTATCCTGGAGAATGTTCCATGTGCACTTGAGAAGAAAGTGTAACCTGCTGTTTTTGGATGGAATGTCCTATAAATATTAATTAAATCTATCTGGTCTGTTGTGTCATTTAAAGCTTGTGTTTCCTTATTTATTTTCATTTTGGATGATCTGTCCATTGGTGTAAGTGAGGTGTTAATGTCCCCCACTATTATTTTGTTACTGTCAATTTCCTGTTTTATAGCTGTTAGCAGTTGCCTTATGTATTGAGGTGCTCCTATGTTGGGTGCATATATATTTATAATTGTTATATCTTCTTCTTGGATTGATCCCTTGATCAATATGTAGTGTCCTTCCTTGTCTCTTGTAACATTCTTTATTTTAAAGTCTATTTTATCTGATATGAGTATTGCTACTCCAGCTCTCTTTTGATTTCCATTTGCATGGAATATCTTTTTCCATCCCCTCACTTTCAGTCTGTATGTGTCCCTAGGTCTGAAGTGGGTCTCTTGTAGACAGCATATAGATGGGTCTTGTGTTTGTATCCATTCAGCAAGCCTGTGTCTTTTGGTTGGAGCATTTAATCCATTCACGTTTAAGGTAATTATCGATATGTATGTTCCTGTTACCATTTTCATAATTGTTTGGGGTTTGTTTTTGTAGGTCCTTTTCTTCTCTTGTGTTTTCCACTTAGAGAAGTTCCTTTAGCATTTGTTGTAGAGCTGGTTTGGTGGTGCTGAATTTTCTTAGCTTTTGCTTGTCTGTAAAGCTTTTGATTTCTCCATTGAATCTGAATGAGATCCTTGCTGGGTAGAGTAATCTTGGTTGTAGGTTCTTCCCTTTCATGACTTTAAATATGTCATGCCACTCCCTTCTGGCTTGTAGAGTTTCTGCTGAGAAATCAGCTGTTAACCTTATTGGAGTTCCCTTGTATGTTATTTGTCATTTTTCCCTTGCTGCTTTCAATAATTTTTCTTTGTCTTTAATTTTTGCCAGTTTGATTACTATGTGTCTCAGCGTGTTTCTCCTTGGGTTTATCCTGTATGGGACTCTCTGTGCTTCCTGGACTTGGGTGGCTATTTCCTTTCCCATGTTAGGGAAATTTTCAACTATAAT